ACATCCTAAAGAAGCTATTTACTAACTTTTTAGCTCTTGGGATTAGCTTTAAAGGGTTAAAGCAAAATTACAATTTTTCATCAACAACGTGCTGGACTGTCATGTCAGGTACCGTATGCATAATATTATAGTATATAGTAATTGCAATCAGTATAAATATGTACTGATTGTAAATGTCTCATTCCATAGATTACATAGGTGAAGCCAAACCGGAAATTTCAGAGAAAGAATTGGCTAAAGCTGTAATTTCCTGGTTCCAGCACGCAGGTGACCGACTGAAGGCTGAGCAAACTACTAAAAAATCCAATACTAAATAATTTTTTAGCTTAAAATCATTAATGCGTGTACTGTTTGTAGAATGTTAAGTAAATAAATAAATTTTGAAGAAAATAATACCATGTCAGTGTATGTCATTTTTGTGCCAACGCATGACATCCATCAGACATCAATACGATATCTAAACAATATCAGCGGTTAGACTTAGTCTGACATCGTGGCGATGTCGGAGTGAACATCTTTATGATATCAAAAGTTGGGAAATAGCGATCCAATCTAGACATACACTGATGTAGTTCTGACGCTCACTGATGTCGTGTGGATATGTTCATATCCAAGTTTTTGTATCATTTTGATATCATATTGATATCAGTAAGTTGCATGGGTATTCTACTTGGATCCCTCTACGGAATTTGTGACATAACCGTTGCCATCGTTCTAGTAACGCTTGTGGGATGCGCCATCATCTCCCTCTACTTGTGCATTTCAGCGTACGACCTATTTCCAATCGAACTCTATTGGTTGCTCCTTATCACTGCGGGAGGTAGCATAACTTTGTTGCAGATTATCCTAATCCCGCTCATCTATCTGAGGGAGGATTCCGCAAAGATTATTCACCAGGTGAAAATGGTTCCGGTAAAAGTTCCCAACTTTTGGTTTAGTCTGAGGAAGTTTTTGCTAATGAAGATACGAGTTTTGCGGCCCATCACATTTTACGCTGGTGCATTTGACTATAGATTCATCAGACTGGAGAAGGCTACTAAAATTGCGATAACTGACAAAATAGCCTATTTGACGATATCAGCACTCTTGGCTAATCGAACAAAGAAGTTGAGTTTGTAGAAAAATTTGTAAAACGGTTTGTCGATTTTTAGAGATATTTTACATTTTATTTTAATAATCAGAGTTTTATTTATATGTGTAATTATCACTGTAAATTTAAAACCTTAATGTTATATATAACTCAAACTAATAGTAAGTCCGGTCTTAAATCCCTGGGGAAAATTATCCGGCACAGAATTGGCTGGTTTTAATGCATATGAAACGTGCATAATTCTGCATATACATACATGTTTATGTGGAAGATGATAATGAAAAGGAGCGATAATGAAAATGATAATGAAAAGGATCGTGCATATTTCGTAAGTTATTTTCTTATATGAAAAATACCATACTCGTGCTACGCATACATACTCATACATACATATGTACATACACATGTATGAACACATAGATGTACACATATTTGGATAAATAGAGGGTGATTACTATTGAATGGTAAAGGATTTTCAATGCATACTGTAAAGGGCTCAGATAAGCCTCGAAATTGTAAATAATACATATAGCTGTATCGAAAATTTAACTGGCTGCGAGGATCCGCAAACCAGAAGTCTTTACTACCAACGGTTCAAAAGATACACCAATAAATTCGGAGAAACTCGCGAACACGATCTGCCACGGTTTTGGATTCGTATATTTGGAATTCACGTGTACAATTAGTCAAATTAAATTCAAGTTTTTGCAACATTTCGTGGATTATGATATTGAAAGAAATAATACCAATATACTACCATTATACCAATATAATGAAATATCACCAATTTTACAATTGGTCATTTCTTGTGGAAATCGTGAACCTACTTCTCAATCCCCATAAGGAGAACAATGTTAAATTGGAAAACTCGCTTGGAATGATTAGGGTCGAATTTCAATATATATTCCGCACAAATGTTTTTTTAATTTGAGGCTGAATGGGACTTTGATTATATGAGGTCATCAAGGCCAGTCAAGCACGATGTTTCATTATCCATGACGGCAAAGGTTGACAAGCATTAGTCGCCGCACTTTTTTAAGATTTAGAGACAATTTATTATGGTGGTTTTTTCCTGGTGTCATTATATTTTGGGGTACTTGGACATTAGTTTTATTTGATCCCGTACTCCTAAGGTTGAATTAAATGCATGAACGATTATGGTGCGTTGAACATGGAGCGGAATATCTTATTCGTATTACTGTATGATTTTCGTGATCTTTGTGTTCAGATCTGGTCAGTTTGGAAGTTCCCATACGAACACGGTTACTCTCTAATTTTTGGAAGTAAGCTTTTCCTGATGCCACAAACATATGGCAAAGTCATCAACTTTACCATCCCCAGATTGTGTTACTATTGAAATGGTAATAAATAATCTCCCGGGGGCGTTCGCAAGCATTTTCGTGGTTGTGGCAGAACGTATTCGCGAATTGCTTTGAATTAATTGATGTAACTTACGAACCGTTGGTAGTAGAGACTTCTGGTTTTCGGATCCTCGCAGCCAGTTAAATTTTCGATACAGCTATATGTATTATTTACAATTTCGAGGCTTATCTGAGCCCTTTACAGTATGCATTGAAAATCCTTTACCATTCAATAGTAATCACCCTCTATGTATGCAGAACAAGGTATGTACGTATGAAAAACGAGTGAGAAGGACAACAATTGCAGTTTCTGCAAATAAAATAACGTGTAATTAATATAGATAGTTTAACTGTACATTTATCTGAAGCTATATATTTCGTGTACATACAAATCTTAAAGTAATTAATTAAGTATTCCATATTACGATGGATTATAGGTTAAATGACTGCTTGTTTTTTGTTGCCTTCCAGTATTAATGCGACATATTACAACACAAATTTATGTACCATTGTTCTTCTAAAATTCTTTTTTAGAGTATGAAAATATGCATTATAGATGTAAAGTGTAGTATAGTAGTGCATTATTTGTCACCACGATATCGCATGATTGTTATGTTTTTACTATAATTTTGGTCTCAAAATATGTACAAGGTGCATCCACTTTGCTAATAATACTTAAACAGTAGTTTCCTCCTCTTCTTTTAATCTATGTATGTGTATGTATAGACCAACATTCGAACTATAATTTCCTAAATCGTATTTATATGCCTGTACAAGAATATGTATATAATTTTCATGTTTGGCAAAGAATATCAAAAATAATTTTATCACTTTAGGTGCAGTACATTGGAGGAGCAGATGTGGAGAAAGATGTTAAAGGAATACTTGGTTGTATATTTAGTCGTCAACTCGTAACGGAAGTTAGCCGAACAGGACGAGGGACGTCCAAAGCAGCCTTCACCATAGAGTATGTTGATAATGTGAGAGCTACATTTTTTATTAAATTATTTAGTCGTAAAGAGCCGTACTTTAATATTCCCGTAAGGAGTTGTATGTTAAACATTTTTCGCGTCTCTAAACTTTCAGTCTGCTCCATTTCTATTTCGTAAGTATCAATAGCACGAAAATGCGTTCTGTTACCACAAGAGCTTAATAGTTTTGTAAGCTTTCCAATGTAAATATGACTTAGAAAACTAATGTATTATAGATATTTTAGTTTTATCTGTTCTTGGTTTGATTACTTTTTGATTACTTTTAGTCCCATTTTGAAATATGAATGAAAATAAATATATGGGATATAATATGAGTGTAATCTGAGCATAATTATTCAGCATTATAAAATACGAAGTCAAAATTGGGCTCATATTGTACGAGCACTAGTCGAGTGTAGAATTACTGGCCGAATTAATTACTGGTCCAATACTTAAACAGTACGTAATGCAACATTGCCAGTATACTGGCATTAAAGTATTCACAAAGTATTGGCAGGGTATTCCGACCCCGGGTTTTACTGGGTTGGGGTTTTTGGGTTTTACTGGGTTGGGGTTTTTAGGTTTTACTGGGTTTTACTGGGTTGCAAATCAGTAAAACCCCTGGGGTTTTACTATGTTATAGGGGTTTTACTCGGGTTTTACTGGGTTCTACTGGAGTTTTACTGGGTTTTACTGGGTTTTACTTAAAATTTAGTGAAGTAAGTCAAGTAAAACAATTTTTAAAGTTGTATTTCATCAATTTGTGCATTATTTCACAATAAAATACAAACTTCTCAATTTATTATTTTACCCCAAGTCATTGAGTAAAACCCAGTAAAACCCAATAAAACCCAATAAAACCCAGTAAAACCCAGTAAAACCGCAAATAACATGGGGTTTTACTAATAAAACCCCGTGGGTAGTGGTTTTGGAAGTAAAACCCGGGGTTTTTCCAAACCCTTAGTATTGGCAAAAGCGACAGAATTTATATTGAAATTGCAAGTCTGATCTAATATTAATATAAGCGTTAATTTCTACTCGGGATACCATAAATTAATCCATGGGAGTCAATGCTTTTTGGAGGTTCATATTTGACTACCTAAATGATAATGTAACTTGCACCAACGGGAGTACACACGTGTACAAAGTAATCCCTGCTATTTTCAAGTGCTGGGCCCGAGTAAGATTACGTAATTGGCTGGTATTTAAGTGGTTTATTGAACCCCCGGGATTAGTTAAGCTATTCAAATCCTCATGGTAGCTTCACTTCGCAAAGTTCGAGGAAATTTACAAGTGTTTGATAAATACGATATGACAAATGGTTTATTACCTTAATTATTCCGAGATAATATATTCAATTGTATTGATTACATTTTCTATGTAAACATATACTGTACGTTATACTTAAGGGATTACGACACCCCCAAAGTCGAACCAAGCCGTTCTGTTGCCAATGTTTATTCATATTAAATCCGACTCATAAATAACTTCAAACCAGAGCTAAACGATTTCAAAGCACGCACTCAAAAGACAATGGATGAGGACCATATAAAAGCGTGTCTCCCTCCAGCTCGTATGTTTGAGGTATTTATCAATCCACCAACTGAAACGAATTAAGCTCCTATAGTTATTTATAAATATATTAAAAAATAATAATTCCAAAAATGAAAACATTTATTGCAATTGTTTTCCTTCTTGTGGTCTTTGCAGTGGCTGCAAGTGGTCTCAACATTGGCATAGTAAGGAATCCAAGAATACATAAATTCATGTTGAAATTTTATTGTGAACAACAGTTTGATTCATTTAAGATGAGTTGCACTATTCAGCAGTGCACGGATCTGTGCAACCAGGTTTTCCCCGGTCGCCGCTGTGTCGGACTATGCCTATCTCCCACAGAATGCCAGTGCACCTGCATTGGATAAGATTCTTCCCCTATGAGTGGAGAAGAGATCGTGGAGATAAAGCCTTCAAACAAATTGGCTGCAAATTTTCTTTAAACTTTATGAAATTGTAATTGAATAACCTTTAACGGAGTTTTAATAATTCGACAATTAAATGCTTTATTTAAGATAACTAACCATATTTTATTTTCGTTGACATGTACATACATAAATATGTTGGGTGCATGATTTGTCCATCGACACAGTTGATACGTGACTAATGCTTAGCTTAACCTTACCGCTATCTCTGACGAAGATCTCTTTGATATTAGTAAAGTAGTTGGTATATTGAGGGAATTTTTGAGCCCTTAACATATATTCTGCAGTGTCCTCTACCCAACTTATTATTAATTAGCTTTAAGAAAATATAATTTTAGATTTACAGGTACATAATAATTTTGGATTTTATGATACTATGAATTACTACATATGAATTTAAAGTGTTTCCGGTAATGGTTTTAAAGCATCGGCTTGAATTAAGTTCATTCATCCTATCATAACTCTGCCACAAGTAATTAAATGGATGGTTGCTTCAACCAATAGTTTTCCAAACTTTAATTGCTGTGTTTCTGGGGCTTAATTCTGTGTCTGTGGTGTGCACTCGAAAAGCAATAGCGTCACCCCATTCAGGTGAGTCACGAGTCATTACGTAATCTGAGAGGAACGTCCATTGTACTCGTTTTTCCATCCACCTGATTCTTAGTGCTGCATTGTCAACCACTGGACCCATTTGGCTCATCTTCGAACTCTGCCTTTACATTTTCATACTATACATGTGTGCAAAATTTCAAGTCGATCGGTCCCTATCCTGTCGCAGACAGACAGACAGGACTACATAAGCACGGTTACATAAGCCCTGACTCGGGTTAAAAAGTTGATCCTCGATGCAGTTTTTCACGAATTTGCATTTGTTTGTTAGTGTAGTGTCATGTATAAAGGTCCATAGGCCTCAACCCGATATTGTAAACTCTAAATTTTATACGAATGTCTCATCTCATAAATTTGAAGGTTCCAGAAGCTCAACAAAATTTGTAGAGAAAGGCAGTCACAAAATATTTAACGGTGAACATGTATGTAAGCGAAGTACGAGAATTAGTTGAAATTTAAACCCAATCGGCCACGATCCTAATGATATGTTTTCCTTTTCTTAAATATCCTACCCGGGATATTTCCGTAAAATGTCATCCGAATGATATATATTAGATATCCATTATTTGATGGCAATCAAGCTACAGTGTCGGACAGATGTCTACGTCCACATAGTCGCGTCAATTTCATTTTCAAATTGTCACTGAATTACTGAACCAATTTTCATCATTGATATATCAAATTCTCACAAATTTAACGTAATTTCATAAAACATATGAGTTATTTCTGAAAATTCTGGGAAAACTGAGAATCATAGTGCAGAGCGAGAGAGGATGAAATTTGAGCGGACAAAAGTCTACGTCCACTTCACTTTAATTGTCAACAACAAAAATCTCTCCAATTTATAAAATCAGGTAACTTAATAAATCTATCAATAACATATGCCGCATTAATTTTTAAATAATTTTCTTCCAGAAAAATATGATGGCGTCGACACGCAAGGAAATTCCTATCGCTATTCGAGATCTTGTCATTCAGGACTGGAAGGGTGGACAAAAAGGGGGCTGTCGCAGAGACAAATAGGGACCAAGTATAAATTAGCAAGGATAACCATCCAGACAATCATTAAGAACTTTAAAGCTAATGGTTCAGTCCAAAACAAGGTCAGAAGTGGTCGAAAACCCATTTTGGCTCACCGAGAAGTACGCCACGTGCTCAACAAAGTCAACGTTATACCCTCACTTAGTGCTCCAAAGCTATCTACCGAGATCAAGGAGATGTTCGACAAACAAGTTAGTCCTACGACCATCCAAAGAACACTGAACAAGGGAAATTTGAAATCCCACAGAGCAGTCCGGAAGCCTCTTATTGTACCGAGGAATGCAACCAAACGAGTGAAGTTTGCCAGAGACCACATTTCCAAGCCACAAACATTCTGGGACATATTTTATGGACTGACGAGTCAAAGTTCAATGTCTGTGGGTCAGATGGGCGTCGTAGAGTGTGGAGGTATCCAAAAGAAGCTTTGAATCCAAAAAATCTCAACCCCACAGTTAAGCACGGCGGCGGGTCGGTAATGGTGTGGGGATGCATGGCTTCAAGTGGGGCAGGAAAAATGGAATTTGTTGACGGAATTATGGACCAATACAGGTACCAGGGAATACTTGACCGTAATATCCAGGAATCTGTTCGAAAACTTGGACTTGGACGACGATTTGTCTTCCAACAAGACAACGATCCGAAACACTCTGCCACGTACACCATGGAATACTTCAAGAAAAAAAAAATTCGAAGCTAGAATGGCCTCCCCAATCTCCAGACTTGAATCCCATTGAGCATCTGTGGGACCACATTGAAAGAGAAATAAGAAAACAATCTTTTTCAGGAATTCCGGGCCTTAAATCCAGAATTCGTGAAGTTTGGGAAACCATTTCTGAAGATGTGACCAAGAATTTGGTAAACTCTATGACTCGACGCCTTGAAGCCGTCCTTAAAGCGAACGGAGGCCCAACCAAATATTAAAAATTAATTGTTATAACATTCCTTATAAATTACAGTTTTTTTTGTATGTTTTCTCTTACTGGACGTTGACTTTTGTCCATCCAATTGTTTTCATTTTGAATTAAAATACATCTCTGGCCTAAAATAAATTTTTTAGCGGAAAACTAATAATGTGCTATGAAATTACGTTAAATTTGTGAGAATTTGATATATCAATGATGAAAATTGGTTCAGTAGTTCAGTGACAATTTGAAAATGAAATTGACGCGACTATGTGGACGTAGACATCTGTCCGACACTGTAGTTCCTAATGATATCCCATTTAGGAAAAAGTCCAAGACCTTTAGAGATTTGGTCCATTTTTGTTATCCCAAAGACGTCCAAGGTATAAGAAATTCATGTCACGTGATTCGTACAAAATAAATTGCGCAGTCAGTTTCGCTTCATCTATCACTAATAATAATATTTGTTATCATGCCAAAAATTAATTCCGTACTTTCTAAACGACAATTAAGACGTCGTCTTACTCAAAATATTATTAAAGTTCGGAAATTCATCCTAAAACTATCACCCACAGTCTCTCAGTGAACTACTTGCCTGCTACACCCCCAACTGTATGTGTTGATGATGAGGTGGATTTCGACTTCGACAATCTTTTTCAACATACAAGAATTGGTGTAAGTGAACAAAATAATAGTATTTCTAAGATAAACGATTGTGAAAAAAAGCAGACAGAATGCTATATTAATGATAAATTACTAGTGTGGTCAGTCAAAAATAATATTTCGCAAACTGCAACGAATGAGTTACTTAAAGTGCTTCGGAGTCACGAGTGTTTTAAGTCATTTCCGTCAGACTCGAGGTCCTTAAGAAAAACACAAAAGAGGTTCACGTACCGGGCAGTAAATAGTGGAAAATACATTTGGGACTACAGGCAGGATTACGGGCAAAATATAGAACAGTGAAATTTATTCCACAGGAAATTAGTATTTTCATAAATGTGGACGGAATTCCAGTCTCCAAAAGCAGCAGAAGTGAATTCTGGCCCATCCTTTGTTCTGTGAACTCGCCCGATTTAAGAAAAAAAACCGTTTTGTGTTGGAGTATACCACGGCGCAGGAAAACCAGAAAACCGTGATGATTTTTTAAAAGATTTTGTGGAAGAAGAAAAGCATCCACAGAACTATGGTGTGCGTATTAATAGAAAGCTACTAAAATTTGCAATAGGAGGATTTATTTGCGACGCTCCTGCTCGAGCTTTTATAACGTGCACCAAATATCATTCAGGATTTTCATCTTGTGGAAAATGTACTCAAATCGGGGAAAGATTTGAAAATCGTGTGGTATTTTCAAGTTCTGTAGATGTTAAACGAACAGCCGAAAGCTTCGAAAGCCAATTATTAAAGGATTGGGATACCCACAGTTTACAAAAATTCGATTCGAATCAACATTTATTCAAAACGATAATAGGAATTGCTACTGCCAAGTAAAAACCGGAGAAATTATAAAAGTCGTGCATTTTGCAACCCGTGAGAACGATAGAAAGTTATGCGTAGTGGGCAAAGCAAGTAGTAAATTAGATTCTCTCTACCTAGTCGCATGTGATTCTAAAAAGTTTGGAATATTTAAATTTTCGAAATTTGGAACACTAAAATCTTGGGAAGTATCGGACATTAAATTGAAATATCTTGTAGTTTCACAAAAGAGTTCGTGAAAGAGTCATCATTTGCAGCGTTTCCATTGTATTTATGCTGAAATAATGGAATTTGCGATCGCTGATTTCCTTAGTACCAAAGAAGTTGCAACAATTCCCGTCAAATGGATTTCAAATATTCGCGTCTTGAAATATTTCGGTAGGTTCAGACCATTTTATACTATCAAAATATTATTAGAATTATGCTAAATATTCATTTTAATGTTTAGAAACTTTCCACGCTGCACAATCTCATATTACAGAGGCGGAGGACACATCGAATCTGGATTCAGACAATGAGTCACAAGCCGACGCTGACCGTGGCCGCAAAAGAAAGAAAATAGTCAGAGTTGAAACAATTCCAGCGCCACGGCCAATAAATAGTCAGCGTTCGCATCTTGATATTCTGCAAACTCCAACCGCAAAGCCTGCAACGCCACCAGGGTCGAGCTTCATTAATCCTCAACAATATTTCGGTTTGTCTGATGGAAGAGGAACTCGGTCTAATGCACGTCGTCAAATTGATAGTGGTAATGATAATACTGAAAATCAGGGTAAGTACATATTTGTTACACTTTAGCGGTGCATACATACATAAATATCTAGCAAAACTAAATATGCTTCCCTTCCTAAGGTTCCCAAAATATGGATGGAAATGTCGATGACCATCCCTATATTAGTTATCGAAATACGACCGGTTTGTTTTTCGGTTTTCTTATTTATTTATTAATTTGACATAATTATTTTATTTCCTCGATAGATTTCACTGTCCAATCTTTTCAAGATTATGTAGTCTCTTCACTGGAACGACTTCACCAGAAGGTTGATTTGCAAGGGGAAATAATTGCCAATTTGGTGAAGGTGAGCAACTCCCGGCAGCCAGCTAAGTCGTCAATCACCAAACCGAAGTATGGATTCCCTCTACAAAACATGGCAGAGCTGGATATTTTGGAAGCAAAATTGGGCTCGGACGAATTTTATAAAGATTTCATAATTTCATTTTCATAATTTCAAATATTTCTCAAAAATTTCTCAAAATTTTCATAATTCCAAAAATTTCTCATAATTTCCAAAATTGCTCAAAATTTCTAAAAATTTCTAAATATTTTCATAATTTCAAATATTTCTCAAAAATTTCATTATTTCCAAAATTTCTCAAAATTTTCATAATTCCAAAAATTTCTCAAAATTTCTCAAAATCAATTATGAAATTTCATAGGCAACGTAACAACTTTTGAGCAAGAAATAATTTTTATATTGTATTTGCCATGTATTGAAGGTGGATTTCCTTGCAATTATTTGGTGGTTAACAACAACTAACAACCCTGACTATAAGGATACCGTTGCACGAATTTTGCATCATTTATTCTCGAACGAAGCAGCCGAACATATTGCCTGGGAAGGAATCCGAAAATCTAGCCAGAAGCGACCTTTTAAAGATCTTCGGGTTAAGCAGGTCTTGTTTGGTGAGATTTTAAGTTTAGGAAAACTACCTTTCTTAACATATTAATTACATTAATTACATTATTTTAGACGCAGTAAGAAAAAATCCATTGGCTCAAAGTGCCACAGATGAGGAGTTAAAACTTAAAGGGGCGTTATGGTTTTAACATGCATCAGACAGGATTAAAGCCGCTGTAAGTATTATGTTGTTCACTCATTGGTATGTATAGTGTAAAAATCCTATGCGCAAAAGTTGTACTTTATTGTTAACAGATCTCAAAACGTGAAGGAAATTTGGAACCTAGGGATGACGTGATTTAGTTAAATTTGTCATTTACTATCGCGTACCTAGGTTTTGTTAAAATGTTAATGACAATCTTTGTTGCAACAAATAAATAAATTGAACAGTTTCAAAGTTGTTTGTTTATTCAATACAATAGCATGCATGCACTAAACCCTGCGACAATACCTACAGATCTGAGTGGGACCTCATTAAGACATCCTCCATAATTGGTCCTACTATGATCTTGCGATGATTTCATTCGGAGAACAGAAAAACGGACATTTGAATTTCCTAAAGATTTCAATATGACGACAGTTATTCTACCGTGGACATCCTTAGGAACTACTTAATTCTTGAAAAGGATATCAAAAGGGAAAATCTAGTTTTCTGGTAGTTCTACAAAATGTAAAAAATTATAAAAACGGGGTTCACTTTTAATTAAAAATGTAACTTTTTTGTGATTATCGCACCGTGAAGGTTTTATAAAGCCGCCACATATTTGGAAGGTTGCAACTTTTTTAACAGAAATATTGCAGAATAAATAGACCTAACGCATAATTTAGAGTCGTGCATTAATGATATTTTCCTTTCGTTTTGCGTTCTGTTTCGTCTCAAAATCAATTTATAGTGAATTGATGTACTTTTCATTTCGTGAAAAATTAATGTCATGCCAACATTTTCGTTTCAAATTCTCTTCGTCAATTTAGAGTCGCGTTTCTCTTCTTGTCTTTTCATTTTCATGCAATTTTTCAAAGTTGAACCTTGGTCAACTTTTCTGCAGTGAAAATTTAAACGAAGATAATTTTCGTTCCCAAATACGAAATTAATGTGTTCATTTAATTTTAATGATTACTACAATCAAATAAGCTAACAAGTTATGTCGATAGATAAAATATGGAAAACATAAATGAAATCATTACAAAAAATGCGTTTGGTCTATTTATAATTCCACAACTTGGATTTTGAGTAGTTGTCTGTGTCGAAGCTTAAATGTCAATCTTCATTCATTAAACGAGTGTGAATGAAGTGTGAATGGGCACGAATTTCTCTTCATTTATTAATTAATAAACAAATGACGACGGGTAAAGTATTCACTAAAATTTGGGTATAACTGAGGATGAATCAACGCTTTCGTTTGAATTTCAATGTGAGTGAAGGCGAATGAATAACGCATGTAAAAATTTAGGATGAATGAATTGTGAGTGAATAATTATTTTTGCACAGATTTGGATGAAAGGCGATAATTTATGTTTTTCACTAGTTCAACTCCCTAGAAAAAAGCCAACGGAAAGTGCTTATATAACAATGAAACAATTTCAAATGCGATTCTATAAATCTTCAGTATGATTTTATTTTTTAAGTAAATACAGTGTATTTAATTTATTTCTTAAATTATCCTGGTCCTAGCAGACTTTAGAATGACCTCTCCATCGCAAAAGTCGAAAGTGAACTTTCCCTGGTATTCAGTAAACAGTTGGGTTACCTACCAACCAGAAGGAAAGTAGAAATTCACAGAAAAGACTTGCAAAAAGAAATACGAGTTAAAATCGCAATATATGGTAGGAATCGTTTCTATAGCCCAGTGGTTAGAGCGTCAGTCAAGAGGCGTGGGTTCGATTCCCCGTTAGATTCTAACTTTTATCATATAATTGGAAAAATCGTATTTCAACTTTAAAAACTAATAGTCGAACAATTTACTTCATTCTTAAATACAGTGTGTTTATTCTTGGTTTGACTAATGGTTTCATGGATTAATTTAATCGCGAAAAATTCATAGTTTAGCATGGAATTATAAAATAGCCAAAATGATTTATTTTAAAATCCGACTTAATGGCAATATTTAATTCGTTTGTGGATCAGAATCTGCAACAAATCTTACTCCGGAATAATGCTTTTGGATATTTGCTGCAAGGATATTAAATCATATAAGTTTCGTCAGAAATATTAAGAATTTAAAACTTTATTGTTTAAACAATTACGAATGGATGTGGCTAAACCAGACTCCAGCAAAATTTTGTTGAGTTCCTCAAGTTGCCGCTTCTCGCTGGAGGAACTTTCCCAAATCTTCAACGATCCCAATATTTTTTTCTCCAAATTTGATCTTCCAATCTCGTTAGTGTTACTCGAGGTTAATTTAGCAATCAAGGTGGGATGCTTCTCATGGATTTTGTCATCCTTGCAAATAATTTCGGCAAGTGCTGCAAAGTTGGTAGAAAACATTGTTCTTGGAAATTTTTGTATTTAAGAAAAATTCAATGTGTTCTCGACACCTGCGGAACGCTGAGAGGAATGGATTGCATTTTCGGTTTGAAATATCTTTAAGAGTTTAAGTTTATCATATTTTGTTTTACTTGCTTATGTGTATTTGTACAAATCAGATAATTCATGGGTTTTGAGTGATGTTGTCAAAAACAAACGAATAACGAAGTAAGTAAACAATTTGGTAAAACTTGGAATTTTGTTAGATCAAATATTTGTGTGCCACATTCAAATACACATTGTAAATAAGTAATCGGGTAATAAATTATCACAAATTCGTAACGTATGGAACTCTGCAGACACGGTAATAAAAGTTGATAGTTTGTGGTTTAGAGTTATCAAAAAAATCATTACCGTGTCGGTTATACATTATTACCAGTGTTTAATAAATGACTGGTGAAAAGTTATTACCAAAAATCGTTAGGTATATTACTCTGTAAAATTGTTAGAGCATTCATCAAATATAAACTGCAAAATTTGATTGAGACACTATGGACCTATGCACAAATGAAATCCTACCTTTAGACACAAAAAATAATGCTTTGACTATTTCCCCTGGATTCCCGTTGGATTCAAGCATGATAAAAATACACGTTCTACTTTTTGAGACTGCGTAAATATTTGAAGACTCAACGAACTCTTGTTCCAGTTATGATTACAATCAAACGGTTATTAAACATTGAGATAAGTACCAAACATACGTAAGTATGCATTTATTTATGTCACGATATTAAGTCCAAAATATTAAGTTAAAAGACTTGAAACGAGTTTTGTATAAAACACATACAAACAAAAACGTCAAATGTATGGTACGAGTATGTATGAGTTTATTGATCGATCCTTTTGAGGCCACTTACGGGTCCATGAAGGTACACGAGTTGTTAGACAATTTTTTGAGAACACGAGTTCAAAAAAAGTGAATAAATAAAACAAAAACGAAATATGTGTGTATGTATTTACTATTGCAAATATCATAATTAGAAAAACCAGGGAAATTACTGCTGTTGCATAACTCCATTATCACATGATCATGGTGATGAACCAGCGCTGTAAAGCGGTATTTTAAATTATACAAAATAAGTAAATTTATTTAATTCTTCGCTTGAGTTAAACTTTGACAGTTTTGAAAATATATTTACTATGTTGGAACACTTTAAAATTAAATTTACTGATCAGACTGTTCTGGTCACCTGCCTATTTAAATAAAATTTTGTGGTGTATTATTAAAGTATATTTCGTTATTAAATTATTAAATTATTAAGTTATTACAAAATTACTTAGTTAAATTACTTAGATAAATTACTAAGTTATTAAATTTTTAGTTTGGCGAATCATTATATATAAAATTTCTTATAACGGTTTTGCGTAACTAAAATTCCAGTAAAAATATGTGTTAAAAAAAATAATAGCATTTAAATTTTCTTGGCGTAATGGTTGCTATGCTTGTTTTCCAACTGCACAGAATGGGATTGTTTTAAGATCTGTATCGGCCAAATTTTGAATTTGAACCCGGCTTATCTAATTCTGAGACAATTTGTACCAATTCAGTATTTAACTACATATAACTTACAGCGGTTAAAACATTTGATAAGTCATTTGATAATATTCATTAGCAGAAGAAATAGGGTGACTGTTGTTTACGTGAGTTATGTGACCTTATTTAATGTTGGATACATGATAACTACTTATAATGTGACGACATTGTTCTATTTATCCACTTATCCGCGGCCTCTGATCAATCACTGCTGCAGTGAAAATATACATAAATACAAAGTAACCATTCGAACAATTTACAATATGCATAGCCGGCAATTAACAGGAATCCCAGATTAGTCAATCAGTAGCAATATAACAATATTTTATTATTTCTTACATCAAAATACAATTTCTGCTGCATCCCTCGATGAAAACATATTTATCAGTATAAAGTAACTATTAATTACATAAAGATTTACTAGTTGCATTAAAACATTTCCGGGTCGGAAAATTGTGGCCTTTGTGTATTGACGGACGGTGGATTAAAGTATTTTGCCAAGTCATCTGCTCAGAAAATATAGTTTCATTTATGAAATCAATAATGTAAATAGTAAACAATTGCTTTTTTTCTTACTCATCGCCGTTACCAAGTCGGATTCCAACAGTATTTTATTCAATTCATTAATTCCACGTCCTTCACTGCTAGATTTTGCCCAAACATGTAATGCATCAACGATTCGTTTTTGCAGTTGCGAGTTGGAAATTTCAGTTGCTTGTTTAGTAGTTAATTTAGAAATTAACAGGTTGTCATCCTTGCTAATGATTTCTGCCACGGTATGAAAGTCGGCGGGATGCATGGCTTGGTTATGAGGAGTAAAGTCCGTGCGAATTAATCAGGATATGTTGAATCAATGATTTACGTTTTATGAGTGATGAATTTTATAAAAGCAGGGAAATATTACGTAGTTGGCTCGCCGGTGATTGACGCCCAGGTTTGTTTGCGAGGATCAAACATGTTCCACTTGAAGATAAAAAGCGTAAAACAAACACTTTTTTATCGACCTCGTTTCTCAGAAATCAAATACCATATTTAGCAATACAGGCAGGGCATATGTTTGTTTAATTATCGCCAGCTAAATACGGAATCCATTTTGGCAGACGTTGGACAAATCTGTACCATTTCAGTTTAATCCTAAGCTTTGTACTCAGACGACATGGTGCAAAACTAGGTTAAGAAAATCTCATCATGGACGGGGAGCAACGACGAAAAGTTGTAAAAATTCTGGTGAAGGATGACACCCTTGTTCAAAAGTGGCCACTCGTTTTTAAACATCTAACAAATAATACAGCCTTTGTAGGTCAGCTAGAAAGGAGAAGCCACGTAAACACATATTTGGATTCGATTTTTGACGAAGTTATCCAATTCTGGGTTTCTAAGAATGGCTCAATAGCAACATTGTCGGCTCTGGCTGAATTCTTCAGGACAGAGGATCTCTTTCAGTTGGCTGGTAAGCAAATATGTTAAAATTAATGAGACAACATTCGCAGAGAGAGTACGATCACGGTTATGTTGAGACTTATCAGCGTATTTGAAATTTTGTCATTGTCACTAGGACATGCGAATCACGGCGTGTATCAAAAATCTCATTCAATTTATTTTTTTTGTATTTGATCACTGATACGCCACTATACATAAGTTAGTCGACCCAATTTCTTCTTTTTTATTTGTTCAATAATAAACCAACGGCCATCTGTTGAATTCCACTGGTCAATCAACCTGTTGAGTAAATATTGAACGTCGATAAAATTGGATCAGAAATCTCCCTTGCTTTAACTCGTGACCAAGTCCTTTTCATATTTACGGTGTTGACTATCCATGCTTCATTCCTACATGTTTACAGATATTGAATAATTTGAGTGGAAAAGTAGCGGTTTGAAAATTATAAATTTAACATTAGTTGTTTGCTTTTGTCGTTAGAAACCTTAGAATGTACCATCCTGACAAGTGCAAGCCAACCTGGTTCAATCGAATGGATCGGAGTGAAGGAGGATCGTGCAGAACTATTTGGAAGAAGGGTGGAAATGGAAACATGTCGCGACTACTACACTGACTACAAAGCTGACTATGAAGGAATCGTTTCCGTAGTAACAGGTCCAGGAGGTGTAGGGAAAACAAAACTGGTTACCAACTTTCTTTCCATGGATACCATATTCAAAAAAGTAAACTGCATGTGGCTCAACTGTAAATCTAACGATTGTTTCTTGAATTCTTTGAAACTTTGTGAAACAATGCTGAAGATGCGTGTCGAACCTAAGAAGGATAGTTTCGAAAGATTCAAAGATATATGGAACGAGATCAATCACGGGAAACAAATACATAATGAATTCATCTTAGTGCTAGACGGCTTAGAACATATACATGCGACATTTCGCAGCATTGTTATGTTTGCCAATATCGTTCGAATATTTACAATTATTACTTCAAAAAATGAAAGGATATATGATACGTTTAACTTACTTAGAATTGGTTTATTGAGTACTCCAGATGCTGAGAAATATGTGGAGTCGACATTTAAGAAAATGACCAAGCAAGATAGTCAAGTCCCTCCGTTAGCAGAGATTAAGCTCCTATGCGAGACAATGTGTTGTTTCCCACTAGCCTTGCAGCAAGCAGTGACCACCATAATTATAAAACAGAAAAGAAATAGTTTACGGGAAAAGTATGGGATACAGGAATTTTTGAATAGCTGGGACGAGAAAGGACTTAAATTGTTTGAGAAGCCAGCGTCAAAAGTAGGATTGACGGATGAAGACGTTTTGCAATGCATGAACGCATCAATATCACAAATCAAACATGTCAGTCAGGATATTAGCAGCCATCCCAGTCCGTACGAGATACTCGTCATCATTTCATGGCTTCACTGTAATAATATATTAATTAGTTTTCTGTTGAAAGTGTTACGTAACTTTTACGAATTTGAAGAAAAAGTATTTCGAAAAAATTTAAAAGTTTTGTTCAAGTATTCACTACCTGAGTCAAATGGGGTGCTAAGTGTACTACCATTGCCCCAACTATCAGTTCCACGGTCTGATACATGGCAGAACCATGATGTAGATTTGATGCAGAGAAATATGGCAAGATTTTTGCAGAATGTGGATATTGACAAAGCAGATGAATTTGAGATACGCCATTTAGAATCAATTTGGCGATTAGGAATAGAATATTTTTACAATCAAGTCCATCTTGATGGGAAAGCACAAGAAATTTTTGAGCGTTTAAAATTTTTGTCCTTGTTCCAAATCGCATTGTACTTTGCACAACATTGTGAGTCCTTTTTAAAGTCGGCCAAAGGAATTAATAATTTGCAAAGTTTGGAAATGATAGAAAATAAGGCGTCTGTCATGCTGAGTATGGGAGATATTAAAGTTGCTATGGAAATTTTGGAAAAAGTATTGATCGCACGGCTAGCCGAGAGGGGGAAGGATGCTAGATATTATGATACTTTACATCTCCTCGGAGTGGGGTACGGGCTTTCAAAAAATTATGAGAAAGCCCTCAGTCTATACGAAGAGGTATGCAAGGCTCGTTCTTCCGATCCAGAGTTAGGATTTAACCACGATAAAACCCTACTGACGAGACGTAACATAGCCATCGTATTAAAGAGATTGGGTGATTTTGATCGCTCGGATAAAATCCTCATAGAAATTTTAGCAGCTAGAAAGAACATGCCCAAAACGTACGAGTCTGATTCACTCTTTGTGAAATATCTTATGGTTATGCATAGCCTTGGACATAATGAATTTGAGCAAAAGTTACATGTCAAAGCGTTTTCTCGGTTCGACGAAGTCTTACGCCTTGCGGACGACAGAGAAATTTGTGTCAACAAGAATGACTTACTGCTATCGACCAGGTATATGATCGGCAGAAGCTTGGAAGCTCTTAGAAAAAATGAGGATGCCATTGAAGAGTTAAAGGAAACGTTAGCGTGCCAATCAGCAATCTTGCCAGTGGGTCATGTGGATGTGGAAAAGACAAAATATAAAATTTATGAGCTGGAGAAGCAAAACCGGGATTGTGTTCAAGTAATTGCGAGATTGCAACTATTAGATATTGTAATATGTCATGGTAATAATGAGATAATAAATGTTCCAGGTCCACCAGCCTTCAAAAGCAGAGAACCAGTTTCGTGGTAAGGGTTAATAACGAAAATGTAGTTTCTTGATTCGTTTGTATTACGACATTTGATTAATTTCAGATTATTCAATCAGAGCATTGAAAGGATTTTTGTCCTTATTTTTTAAGGAATCAAAATGTTATGAAAGTATGATTCATCATGTCTAGGGTAAACAGTGTTTGGTTTAGTTTTATATGTCGATATATGATTAATGGTTTTCCAGATACTTTATGATAAGTGCGACACATTAGAGTTCGAAAAAGAGTTTTGTATTAGATTAAAATTATGTTATTTTAGCTAGAGTAGTATAGATCCGATTCTTGTAAACGTATCTATATTAAATACAAGAATAATTAGGTAATCATATTTTAGTTAGTAACTTAAATAATTATATATATTTGCCAATTCATCATGTGAGCAATGATGTGGAAAAGGAAGGAAGATAATTTTCTAATAAAATTAGTTTCTTTCATTTAAAATTCCAAAATATGTGAGCATAAGATCAGTTTTTAGCATAAATTTCTCACTGACTAAAATTGGAAAATTGAAATAGGTAATAGTCATCTACTTCAAAGTTTCGCCGCTGGTGATAGTAACATCTTCTTTCATTCCTTATGAGATTGTGCGAATTTATAAAAATATTGAGACCTAATAATGTTAATTTTATTAGAAAGATGAAAATGTTTGACAATGAAATGTGAACATAAGTAAAAGTAAGTTGCTCGCTTACTTATGGTTATCTCAGAATTCTCCTTCAGAAAAAATGCATTTCCCTCTCATAATTAATCTAACGAAAGACGATTAATCAAATATGTAGTAAGGAAAAAGTTGCCAAAACTATCTGGACAAATTGTGTTAGTTAAATTTTAAATTTTCAAGTTTATAAGCCTGATAAGATTTTGATCTAAATTTGATCCACAAACTTACAACCAGCCCCGTGGCGACGATGGAGACGAGTGGACGTGTCGAGGCCGGGCCACCTTTAGTGTACGCTAGGTAAAATGGAGAAAACCGATTACGGTTAAATTAATGCAAAGATGTATTTAGCATTTTCTTGTAAACTGAAATTATAAAATAAGAACTTTGTAACTTGATGAGGTTAGCAGGGTTGTGTTTCCGCTATGTATGTATGTACATACAAAGTTCTAAATCTCCGTTTTTAGGATTTTTAATCAACAAATTTTGCGTACCAATTATTAATAAGGCTTATTAAATAAGCTAAGTTCCGTATTAACTGAGAAGTATGAATTACTCCTAATAGTGTTAAGTCCCCATACATACTTCATGATTTGTTTATGAATTGTCTTGGTCTCACTGGGTCATTATTAAAACAAGTAACAAAATCTACCAATCAAAACCATACCTGTTGACATTCTGTGAAGTAGAAATTAATTGAAGATGAAAGAAAAATTTATTCAATGAATCTACAATGAATGAATAATCGCTCATTTAAGCGTGAATCAATAAGTTATTCATTCATTCACGTTTTACTCCATGCTTAATAATTGGCACAAATGAATAATTGTATTCATTAAATAATGAATATGACGAAAATTAATGAATACGAGTGAAGACATAATAATTAAAAAATCCAAATGATTGAATTTTGAATTAATAAAAATTTTCTGAACAGGTATGATCAAAACATAGGAATAAAATATTTTTGCAAACTGTTGATGTGAGAAAGTAGCAAGTTTTCAATAAATCATGAACAAATCACGGGGTATGGGCATACCTGTTCAATGTAAAAATTTTCATTCAAATTTCAGTCACGCACACGCACCACAGCCAAATTTCACTCACTTTCATTCATTTTCAGTCACAGTCATTCATTTTCAGTCATTATCATTCACTTTCAGTCACTGTCATTCACTTTCAGTCACTATCACTCACTTTCAGTCACTCACTTTCTTTCATTCACTTTCATGACTTTCACGTATATCATTCATTTCGCTGGCTGTCACTCACTCACACAAACACAAATTTTTACATCTAATTAGTTTCGAAAATTTAGTAATAAAATTTAGTCAATACTGAATTTACCTGTGTAAGCCGCTCCAATACGTAGTACGTATAATTCCACCGAGTTGGGGCTGGTTTCACAAGTACTTTACCTAATAATGTCTTTATTCTTTTTCGCCAATAAATGGACCTCATGAAGTATTTTACAATGTTGTTGGCACAGTCCAGGTCAGCCTTTGGTCGCCCACCTCTGGCGAACACATCTTTCACGTGTTGAAAACGGTGCGCGTAGCATGAGAATCTGAATATTTCACCTAGGGAGATGTGAAAATCTGAATATTTCACCTAGGGAGATGTGAAAATCTGAATATTTCACCTAGGGAGATGTGAAAATCTGAATATTTCACCTAGGGAGATGTGAAAATCCTGCTCAGTGTCCGAATCGTCCCCTGCGTCAAATTCATTAACTTCATCATCATCCGAGTCTGTACCATCAGCTTGATCTGAATTATCTTCCATAATAGTGTCGTTGACGTCGTCATCTTCGGTCTCATGGTTATCAGGGTACTGAATGTTCTCTTCGGTCTCGTTAATCCAATCACGGAATCCGCAAACCATGTTGCTTGCTCCATCGGTCACAAGATATCCAATCTGCGAAAGGAATACAGAAATTACAACACGATTTAGTCATTTTCTCTGATATCGCAATAATTAATGAAAAATTCTCGTAACAAATACTAAGCACCGTTATCACTTCTCAAATGTGAACTACTAATATTCACCTTATTATCCCTAAACTACCGAGACATTTTTGAAATTTATTTTTTATATTTTCTCCCGAATGCCGGTCGTTGAACTCCTCAGCTACTAAAACCTTTGAGAGGAGCTTCCAGCTCCAAGGATTTTCGGCCTTTTCAATGTAGTGGCACTTAATTCCAATTATCCCGTCACCCTGCCTTGTTGTCCAAATATCTGTCGTCACGTGCAAATTATGATCATCAACTGCTTTGATTGGATTGTTAATGAAGGGCTTGACCTATTACAAAAATTAAATGTCGTTTGAAATTCAAAGAAACTTGGGTAAATAATAATTGAACTTGGTGAATTCAATAAGAACTTGAAATATGGTTTCTTACCGTCTTGTCCACTGTGTCATTTAATCTTCTAGCTAGAGTCACTCGGCCCGGACATGTTAATCTTGGGTTAATATCGTGTATCAAATTTCGAAATCCAAGTCCATTGATAAAGGAATATGGCAGGCCATCAATTGAAATTAGGTCAAGTAAATTGGAGGTAAACCGAGACTGAAGTGGGTGAGCATTCGAATATCCAGATTGGGTGACGCAAAAAATTCTTTGACCGTGTGATTCGCAGTTTTGGTCTCTAACGGAACATCCTTATGCGACAACTGTTCACAAAATATAAAAACAAATTTATTATATTGTAAAAAATGGAGAAACCTGGGAATTAGAACTCTTGTACAAATTAAGGTTCTTAAAGTTTTAGATGAAATCAAAGTTGTTATCTGATAATGTCGATTCCCATTCGGTTTAAAACTGCACAAGTCAAAAGTGTACAGCCTACTTTTTGCTAGTTCTGTACATATTTTACAAGTCGCCACAAACTTGTTTGACGATTTTTTGTGTCCAACATAGTTGAACTGCTTTTCAAAGAAAATTTTTATGTGGTAAATTCTCAAATCCCTTTCGTTTAACAAGATTTTATGAGGTTGGTGTCCCTGCTCCATCGTCGTCCGGTTCGACGTAATCATCCGGCCTGCTCAGAAGTGTACGAAGATCTCCTTGGGTGGTTTTCTTTTTAATTCGACCAGTAGTAATAGAATTTTGTCGTCGTTTGCCCGAATCTTCATCTGCCATTTTGCGATTTTCCTAGTTGGCCACTGCAAAAACGAAGGAAAGACAATGAAATTCAAACTACTAAAATCACAAAATGAAAATATAAGTAAATACTGATAAGTTGAAAAACTTACCGTGGTGAAGGGCGCAAGAGGGAATTATTTGCTGATCACACTTGAAATTTACTGAAATGTGGTTTAGCGCAGAACAGCACGGGCAGTATTTAGATTTTCATTCGTCCCCGCGGGATGAAATGATGAGAAGCGGAATGAAATATTCCAACGTTTCGCGTTTCTTTCAAAATTTCAAAATTTTTAGAACTTTTCATATTTTTTCAAAATTTTAACAAAAATCGTGAAAATTTATACATTGCATATAAAATTATTACATTTTTAAAAATACTCGAAAAATTTTTGGAATTTCGGACATTTCCGAAAGATTTTGAAATTTTTAAAAAATATTATTGACATTTTTTCAAATGGTTCGGAAATATTCGGAATTCCGACTATTTGTCAAGAATTTTCAAAATTTTCAGGAAATTTTGAACAAATATGAACATTTAGAAAAATTTTGAAATTCTCCCAAAATTTTGATAAATATGAACATTTCGAAAAAGTTTGAAATTTTCTCAAACGTTTGAAAAAATAAGAAAATTTTGAAATTTTGAAACAAATGCAAAACTTAATATTTTTTTGTAAAAATGCAGCATTTTAAAATTGTATTTCAAAAGCAACATATTTCAAAAGTTCTACATATAAAAGTTCATTGTGGAGATCGGAATATATTTAACATGCATTTGCCTATGCAAAAAATGCCTGTTTTTGTTCATATTTTTGCATGTAACTTTGTTTAAACAATATCTCATATGTAAACACCCTATGCATGGTTCCACTGACCTCCCCATAGAAGACCAACCCCACCCACACAACATATCAAAAAATTAGAGATTTCTAAGACTGGGTGTTTTGAGGTAAAAAATCATATTTACGAAAAGACCACCTCAAAAACGCCATAATTTTGATTTTTTTAAGAAATGTCATACATGAACGCTTTATTTATCTCTAATTTTTTGATATGTTGTGTGGGTGGGGTTGGTCTTCTATGGGGAGGTAAGTGGTACCATGCATAGGGCGTTTACGTATGAGATCCCAGTAGGCAAAAATACAGCGATTCTGTGCGACTTCGCAGCGAAACTTGAACAACGACTCGTTGCGACTCTCTATCGAATCGAAGTCGAAACAACAGCTACATGACCGCCGACTCTTTGGGAAGGAGCAGCGAATTCTCAGCGAATTTCGCAACGACTTCTCGCTACTTCGTAGCGAATTCGAGATGGAGTTTCGTTATGAATTCGAGGTGAATTCGATGCTACCTCAATATATAATTGTCGTTGCACATTATAATTATACGAAAACTTGATTTATTGCAAATTAACAAATATAAATATCAGAAAGATATAATTGTTATTTTTATTGAGTTTCTTCTGTCCCAACGATTGAAATATTTCCGGGGTTCGATGTCGGCTTGGAGGGAGGTTTCCTATAAAAGAATAATGGAGTTAGTAAATCACACTTCTGCTAAATAAAACTCGTTCACCACTTACACTTTCTTTCCGAATCGATCAGCTCCCCGCTTCAAAATTTTCTGGAAGGCTTCATCGACAGACTTCCTGGTAACTGGAACGGCGTTATCATTTTGTGAAAGGCCTTCTGAAAATTCACCATCGCAAAATTATATTTTCTTATCTCGTGCACAATTCCATAGTTCTAAAATGGAACTTACCAAATACAACCTGATTGAGTTCGGGATATTGATTTAAAAATGGAGTCTTCCCACTGCGTCCATGATAACTATGTTGTGATAGCATTTCATCCGAACACAAATATTTTGCCATAAGCTCCAAGCAATCTTCCAAAGTGTTTCCTCCACATTCAGAAAGTAATTTTTTCTACAAGTAATGCAAAAACATTAAATATTTTTAATTTTTGGAGACGTAATAATGAAAAAAAGATGGTTGAGTATTACCAATGCTATCTTGGGAGCAGGATCCTTCAAGATTTCCTCCAAAGCTTTCAAGCTTTCCTTGCTTTTTAGGGGGAAAAATTGCCTTGGAAAAGAATAGGATGGATTCACTGGGGGGTTGCGGTCTCGGTTGCTCAACAAATTCTGGATATTAGTCAGCCTTCGTCCGTGCTCATTTTGAGTTACTTTTATTTGATGAACTTGTACCAAAATTTCCTTCATGATTTCTAAAATATTATGTAAACATAACAATAATTGAATAACGTATAGCAGCCACAAACATACAAAATGTGCAATATTAAATAATACCATTATTGATGAAATTAGGCGAATTGGAATTATTTGTCTCTGTGTTTGCGATGTTTTGTGCGTATTCCTGTCCCTCTGGCGATACCAATATTAAGCTGCCACCAAATTCAGGTGGAAGAACGAAAGTCGTCTCCCCATTTTCATTTCCTGATTCCAAAGAAGAAACTATTTCAGTACGATGAGTCGTTACTTGTGGGGGTACGGGTAGGGTTGAAGAAAAGGTAGTCGACGACATTTTACTTCTAGTTCCGGTCTGTATTTCAGAATCGCTTAACTTGTTGCCGGTTATTGCCTTTGGAAGTTGTTCAGCAGCTGCATTGTAGGATGCTGAAACGTATTTAATGTTTATAAATAATATAATTATGAGAATTCGACTAATATAAATTAAGAAAGATGCATTTTCGGCCCACTTACCAAAGTATTTTAGTATCGTGATTTCATATGTGGCCCAATGGGGTAATGGCACACCGCCTTTCTTTTTTATTTTCTTAACCCCTTTCTCTCCTGATGGTGGAAATTGGCAATGCGTTGCCTGGTCGTTAATCCAATTTATTGGAACAATTTCTACTGTGTTGTCAGATGGGAAGTGGACAATGGCATGGGTTGAATTTGATTGATCCATTTTCAGTCCTCCGAATGAATTAGTGGGAACAGCACAAATTTCTCACTTTTACTGAGGGGAACACAAACACATTTATGAGACACCTCGGACATAGGGATTAAAAGTTCGGTAGTGTCAACCTTCTTTAAGTTCACTCTGAAAACTAAAACGTATTTAGAGTCGCAAGGATATTGAAAATAATTTTTTGGAGCGGAAACGATATTTCCGGCGAGAAAAACTTTATCCACTTCAGTCACAATTTTGCTAATAAGTAAGATTTGTTCACTTTTAAGAAGTACAATATTATTTGGGAACTTTACAGAAATTTTGGTATTTTTAAATGTAATTTCTTTCGACTGTTGGGATGTGTTAGAAGTAATGTTTTTTGAATTATCAGAGAGCTCGAGGGTACAACTTTGTTCAGTCAGCCTCCTATGAATTTGTTGGAGAGGAAATTTTGCACTTTTAATTAATCTTTTAATTTTCCCCAGGTAATTCTCAAAACGAAAAGCGCTAAATTCATCTAATGATCCGTGATGTTTGACATCTGCCGCCAAATGAATTAATCCGTGGACATTGTAAGACACGTTTTCTCGTCCGTACAGCTCCTTAAAGTTTTCCACAAAAAAGGTCAAGAGGTTGCCAGCATAATCAATATTTGATTCTGTTTGGTGTGGTTTTAAAAGAATTCTAATTGCTACAGACAATACTAGAAAATTGTGGTAGAATTTTGCTGGTAAAATGTCCCTCAAAACTACAGGGCCTGTGTACAGAAGAAACGTTCTCAATTCCGACGCTTTATACCTATCGCGTTCCTTCAATGTTCTTGGCTTACGAGCAAACTCCTTTGTTAATTTAATACTTTCCAATCTGCTCGAGATTTGTTCAGTTTCTGCATGTCGTAACCTGTATGGTGCCCTTGGGCCGTCTGTCCACAATTTTAATAATTTTTTAGTGACGCCTAAGCATACAAGATGCATGTACTCAAAAACGAAATCATTGACCATGTCAATAGGCAGTTCAAGTAAAGGTGAAGGTGCATGATGATGACGGCTTTGGGATTGTTGGCGAAAAGATTCATTTGTTCTCAGAACTACATTTGTTTTGGTAAACACTACGCGATGATTTACGTAACTTCCCTTAGTCTCACATTTGCCACACCCATAATACCCCGTGTGATTTTTAATTGCAGTCACAAAAGAACGGGCAGGTGCATCACAAACAAAATTCTTGATTTTGATCTTGTATTTCTTCCCGTTGTGATTTAAACCTTCTACACATAGTTGGTTAAGTTCAAGTATAAAATCATGAAGATATTCTTCTAAATTGGATGGTTTTTCGTCACCACAAAAAATGGCAGCAGCAAAAACGTAATTTGTATTAAAGGGTGATACTAATATTGGCCAAAATTGCTTACTACAACTTTTAAATAATGGAATTCCGTCTATATTAATTTGCAAATTAACTTCAGCTACGAGAGGATTGCAATCCAAAAATTTAATTAATCCTGCACTTACACCGAAATATGAAAATTCATCTTTCCCCACAGGAATAGTATTTGTAACTTTGGGTGTCTCTAGCAATGTCCTTGCATCCTTAGGAAAATTTTTAAAACACTCATGAGATTTTAAAATTTCATTTCATTTTAAAATTTCAATAATTCCGAAGTAGCGTTTCTAGTAATGTTATTACTTACAACCCACTTCCTGATTTCTAATAAATAATTTTTGTCCTCGATTGGAATGCAGGGTGTAAAGTCACTTAAATTGTTATCTGGAGAGCTGACGTTTTCAAAAATTTGAATGGACTGATTCGGTGAACCGGCGCCCAATAATTCCAAATCACTCGTCACTTCACTATCTTGTCCTAATTCTGAATTAATATGTACTTGCACGTTACATGGATTATTAATTTCTTCACTTCCAGTTTGCAGGCTTTTAAAGAAATTATTAATTTTGTTAGAAATTATTCGTCGTTGAGATCTTTTACTCAGCAGATGCTCAGGGCGATGATCACGTGTGCTCATAATGAAGGTTGAAACCAGACTACCACATATAATTATGCTGTGGCAGGAGGCGGAGAGAAGTCGGTGCGAATTCGCTCAGAAGTCGCAGCTGAAATACTTGGTTCGATTTTTGCTTGGAATTCTCTGAGAATTCGCTACGAATTCGACGAGCTTATTCTCTACTCGAAGGAGCAACGAGTTTACTTCTACGACTTCGTAGCGAAATTTCGTATGTATTTCGGTGTTGCATCTTTCGCTACGAAGTCGTACAGAATTCTACGTGGAGTCGGCGTCGAAGTCGAAGCGACTTTTCTCTGCAGCGAAGTCGCCCTAAATTCGCTGGTATCGCTGCGATTTCGACCCTCGAATTGCCTACTGGGATACTGTCCAAAAATGCAAAATTATGGCGTTTTTAGGGTGTTTTTTAGTATATATGATTTTTTATCTCAAAACACCCAGTCTTACATAGAAATCTCTAATTTTTTGATATGTTGTGTGGGTGGGGTTGGTCTTCTATCGGGAGGTCAGTGGAACCATGCATAGGGTGTTTACGTATGAGATATTGTCCAAAAATGCAAAATTACGGCGTTTTTGGGGTGGTTTTTTGGTATATATGATTTTTTATCTAAAAAAACTGAGACACATCCAGCACTAATTTTTGGATATATTGCGTGGGCGAGGTTTGTCGTTAGAATATACATCAGTTCAACTGAAATAACGGCTGTTTTTTGTGATCAATGATTTTTAATCGAGCCGATATGTATGAACTGAGCAATATTTTTTATTTCCTAGAATATCTAAGGTCATGAGAGTTTGTGGTAAAAATTTCAGCTCGATACGTCCAACCAGGACACAATAATTTGCCATCAAAGTTCAGCAAATTGGTGATTCTAGCGATGGCGATTTGGGAGTGAAAAGCTGGTTGTACAAATGTGTGGGTTGATGTTTTTCAACCTTTTCATACTGAAATTATGTTTTCCCATTGGGTTGAGTAAAATAAATCGAAAAAAACCGTCGGCCCAAAAACACCCCTTATTTGCCGTGGTCCTTTATTTTACGTAAACATCTTGGCACAAAAATACAGCTTGATATACACACCTCGAGCTCTACTTACATACTGCTCTCTTCTCGTTGCCAAGCACGCCGTCTCCTTTCTTCATCACCATGACAACGCACTTCAACCACTCCCGCATGACTCACATTGCCCCACTCATTCACTTACATACATTAAATTCACGAATTCACACACTTTTAAAGCAATCTTACGATATCTTACGATTACCCAACATGGGCAATATTTATATCAAAATGTAGCCTAGACCTTTCTTAACATTTATAAACTAATTTGCAGTCACCAATTTATGTTTCAAAGAAATGACAGCAACTTATATACACGTATAATTCATGACATAATTTTACTTATCTTATTAATTTTACTTATTTTATTTTATTTTACTAATTTTACTTACATCCCACAACTTAATACAATAATTATAATTATAATTTTTGTGTTATAATTTATAATTTTTGTGTTGGTAAAAGTAACATTATATTTGCCGTTGGGCAACACGACATCTATTGCATTTCGGAGGAAAATTGATTTCAAAAGACACAGATAAAACTGAGAAGGCCGTCCAAATTGAAAGATTAGCAGCGTAATAATCTCTAAAAATCGACCCACTAATCCCTGACCGTGCCTCTGGTGTGTAATTTTATTTAAGCATTATTTTCCTAATATTTTTTATTGATTCTGGAAAAACATGGATTAAATCTTCTTAATTTTTACTGATGTTTTCCTCTAATTATAAATAGTCTCTTAATTTTGTATTATCCTCTGCTCAATAGGATACATATATCAATATTTGGTTATTTACATATTTCCACATCTCTATCACATTGGCGTTAACAATCTGAATCTTAATATCCCTCATGCATGTGGGAAATTATGGTTAAATTGTACCAACAAAATAATTCAATATGAAAAATTAAGCAACTTTAACTGTTTGGATAAACCAGGAATCAAGAAAACGAAAGATTTGAAATTACTTCCTCCACTTTCTTCCTCCCCAACAGTTGCGGGTAGTTTAAATGGTTTCGGAACAAATTCCAAGACCCTACCAATGTCATCGAATTTCACAGAGAGCTGTAATCCAGCATCATCCCTATTTATCGAATCAGTTGAACCCCAAATATTTCTTAAAACATTGCTCTGGGCCAGCGCAAATTCTAGGATTGCTTTCTCGCATGCATTATGATTTGTGTATGCTTCTAACAACTTGAAAATAAAACCCACACACCTCGATAGAATTGACGTCCGATGTGAGACATTTTGCCAAAGGGTATAAACTATTGCCAAATCATCTGCGTCGAGTAGTTGTAAGTCAATATTTTCAAAAAATGCGCAAAACGTTTCCTCATCATTTCTATTACCTTGAATACCTCGTAGAAACAAAATATTTGGAATTATGACACAAGATTCGAGATTTATGGATTCATTTTTTATCTGTAAGAATCCATAAGATGTCAAGATATCGAGACAAGTATCGAATTTTTGGTGATCGTTACAGTGAAGAATTGACTTTAGTCCTCTGGCAGTAACCTTCTTCGGGTAAATGCGGCACAATATTTGTAACACAGAAATTGCATAGCTTGCCTCGGAACAGAAATAAGTTTCAATGTCATTCAAAGAGGCTACAACTATTGAACTGATAGATTCCTCATACTCATCCAGAATTAGTTTATAAGATATAATTTCGCTGCAGTTTGATTCAAACTTTTCCAAAAATTCGGTAACATAATTCCCCTTGCCGAATCTGACTCGACCAAATAGTAACCGTTTTTGCAGCTGTTCTCTAATTATTGCAACTGCTACTTGTAAGGAGAAAGGATTATTCAAAAGTGCGGTACATAATTGGGGTGAGCTTTCCTCAAATATTTCAAAGTTTTTCGGACATGCTGCAGAAATTAGGGTGACAGCTTCGGCATCGGTTAAACATTTCAGTACCAAAAGTTCTGCCTCTCCAAGCACTAGGTTTCTACGGGTAGTTATAATTACCGCGATATTTTTATCGGCGGTAAGTTCCTTGATAATTTTTGAGAAATCGGAGATATTCTCATGTCGAGCGAAATCATCTATGACAACGATCCATTCTCGGGTGTCTTTCACAGGTCGAATTTCCTGAATTAATTTGGGAATTAGCGACACCTCATTGATGTCGAGGTGCGCTGATTGTGACAAAATCTTGTAAAAATTGTTCAAAGATTTGTAAAATTCATTTGAACTACTTCCATTGAGCCATGTTTGGATAGGTTGCCGTACGCTGGGAGAATCGTGCCGTAATGTTTCTAAGAACTTCTTAAGCAGTTGGGATTTACCAATTCCTCCGATACCTTGAACAATAGTGACCGAGCATTTGTCAGACTCTGTCATGCTTTTTAATTTTCTCAATTCTTCAGTCCTCCCAACGAAATTGGTCATGGGGTTAGTGACTCCAAATTTAATGATTAGGTGATGAATTGCATCACTTTTTGTGAATGAATTCTCAGAATTCATAATTGCTGATTGGATATTTTCAAAGAGGGGGCTTGTGTATGGCTCATCGTCATTTTCTGGATCTATGCGAATATTTGAATTTTTGTTAAATGTAACATAATTAATTTGGAAAACATGCGTCTGAACTGAATGGTCACCAAATACGTATGTAGAAAGATTTGTTCCTAAATTAGTTACAACTAGGGATGTTTCGGGTACCCGAAACCCCGTTCCCCGGCATATGTTCGCCAAGTTACGGGTACCCGTAAATACCAGGTATTAAGCGATTACCCGATTTACCCGAACGGGTAATAACTCTCACCCACTGATTTTTAATTTGGGGTTGTAATTGTACAGGAGACCAAAATCTCATCTCACAGTTTTAAGGCATATTTATGCGCACTTTGAGTTTCAACTCTGACAAAAATCTTCATAACCTTCACACAATTATAGCTACAATTTGCTTGTAGGTATATATGGTAGGTATTGTGTGGGTACCCATCCGGGTACTCCTACAGGTATTTACGGTTAATTTACAGGTACACTCTTAGCAAAATTGTGTTAAATTTCCCCAAACGGAGTGTATATATGACTTAACCGTCTGGGGAAGGTCATTTTCCCTAATTGGGGAAGATTTTTTCCCCGTCTTGTGACGATCTTCACATGACGGGGAAAAAATCTTCCCCAAATGGGGAAAATGATCTTCCCCAGACGGTTAAGTCATATATACACTCCGTTTGGGGAAATTTAACACAATTTTGCTAAGAGTGTAGCACCCGTACGGGTAATTACCATACGCGGAGCATCCCTAGTTACAACTTGTATTTAAATAATAAAATGATTAAAAACAACGAGCTGAATTTAAATTTTATGGGGCGATTTTATCCATTATTTTTGGAAACCAATTTATAGCTAATGAGATTTAGGAAAAAATGATTTCTGCTTGTGAAGATATGTATTTCGTGACCGCTTAGAATTTAATGTACATATTTACCTATTCGCTTATCCTTAGTAACCACGGTTTGAAACAGAATATCGCGCTTGACTTGATTTAACAGGACAGATTTTTTCCGCACTCTTTCCCCGGATTTCATTAATGAATCGTTTAAAAACCGTAAATGTTGCTCCAATTTTAATTGAATTTCGTAAAACTGCATTCTTCGTTTCCATCTCTGGTCAAAGGTTTTGTGCATAATTTCTAGCACAATGGGAGGGGCTTTGAAGGAGGATGGATGATAATTTGATGGATTTTTTCCATTTTTCAATGCCTCCACGACTTCCTGGATTAATGTGAATTAAAATATAATTTTAATAAATAAATCGTTACAAACGACCGTAACCAAGGGGTGAAACAAATTAATTCAGTTAACGTTAACAGTGAAATTGCGCTCTATTAGCCTTTCCCCCCCATCAGTAACGTATAAAACGCTCAAAACTTAAATTTTGACCTTTGATCTCGTTGACCCGTTCGAGAGTTATCGCGCCAACAGACGGACATAACGATCTTATAAAGGGGTTTCAGCACTTGGTAAATAAATTGTAAAAATGGGAAATATAAGAACCTCATTTGTCAAACTATTATCCTCATCCTTTTTCCATGGAAGACCACTTTGCGACCAAATTTCCCATAAAAGCGTCCCATACGACCATACGTCTGAAAGGCGCGAGTATATCTGGCGTTTTGTTCGGTCCTCCCTCTCGACGCCGACCACACTTTCCTTTGGGGCCCATCGAATAGGAATTTTTTTAAGTTCCTCGGCCTTTAATATTTTCATTGGATTAGTAATCGAATCGTGTCATTGACGGAGCTCACGACAACCGCGCAAATATCGCATCGCAACAAAGGTCGCAAATGTTGGCGGAAACCATTATGCATTTTTAATTATTCAATAACACACAAAACTGCTTGAAAATTGTGTACATCAAAGGGCCGGGGTGAAAATGGGCTCTAGGGGCCCGAAAAAGCGAGATGTTCGGAGGTGTCCTTCTGTACAATTTATGAAGAAAAATAATTGAATTTTGCGAGTTTGCTAGATTAGAAAATTTGTTGCGATGCGATGTTAGTTTCCCTCGTGAGTTCCGTCATTGTTAGAGAAGTGAATTTTTCATGACGACGGTAAGTGTGCCGCAATATGTTCATAAGTATATATATGTCATAAATGTACTTAAATTTCATAAATGTTAAATACCTGAAAATATTGTTGAATTTAACATGTATGACATATTTGACAAGACATTTACGACCTTTATGGTATTTAAAACAAAATTCCCTCTATCTTGGTACACTGTTTGGCAAAAAAGGTGTATGTATGTGGATAGGGGAGTTTTTTCTAAGTATAGAATGTCCAATCTGTCACAAATGTCCTGACATTATGACGCATTGACAGATAATGAGGCTAATAAGCTTTTTAAATGACAGACATTCATGACATTTCTGAAATATTTGATTTGTTATGACAAATGATATATTCTAGTAAAACGGCTCTCTTACTTACTTTATACTCAAACGTGTCCAACAAATGAAGTCCTTCCACAAAGATGCTGAATCCCAAATCCCCAATTTTAGCGACACCAGTCCCATTAATTAGCACATTTCTGGAAGCAAGGTCTCTATGGATGCAATTTAATTGGTGTAAATGTGTCATTCCGACAGAGACGTTGAGAACAATTTGGAGTAATTGATGTTCCACTTGTACATCATGGATCGAGGTCTCTTTAAGTTTCTCTAGATAATTTAGTAAAGAACTGTTTTCCATATACTCCAAGAGGATCTTGGGTATTTTGTCGAAGTCTAGATATGAACAAAGTTTAAATGAATGTCTTTAGTGCGGTTTAGGGAAACTAAAAAAAGTGTCATGAAATCCTTACAGAGGCAAGGAACTTGCTATGATACTTACTATGATGCTCAACCTATGTAGGTTGTACTAGTTTGACGCCAAATTGTTACAATAAGTTCCCCGAAATTCAAATTGGATATCGTATGAAATTAATTTCTATTCTGGATTTTAATGAATTTGAATTTCGCGGAAATTAGTGTTATAATTTGGCGTCAAAATAGAATCAACGGGTGGAGCATCATAATTATTTCGCCCGGTAAGGATATCTTCACACTTTAGTTTAATTTTATTATTTATTTATTTATTTCTGACAAAGTGCACGAAGTGTTACACCCAGATCTTTTTATGACCATCGCGGTTTGATAGATAAACTCTTCACAAACAACGTTTGGTTCGGCACTTGGGCAGATGCGCAAAATTCGGCGAGTTATTGGCGCCATAAGATCGCTAAAACGCACGAATTTTGGGTGAAATCCGACCATAACTCATTTTTCACCGTAAAATCGAGCGTTTTCACGAATTTGCGGCGGCTATAAGTCGCCGAATTTTGCGCATCTGCCCAAGTGCCACACCAAACGTTGTTTATGAAGAGTTTGTATATCCAACTGGCATGGTCATAAAAAGATCTGGGTGTAACACTTCGCATTGTGAGTGGATGTGGTTCGTATAATTTCATACCGTCCTCAATTATCCCACGCAACGTGACAACATTTTCATGTTGTATTCTTCCAAGGGTGCTAATTTCCCGAACGCTGTCCTCTCTTCCAGCTTTGTTGTAATGTTTCAACGCCATTAGTTCCTTCTTTACCGTGACTGTAATGAATTCATAAATTAACCCTAAACCAAAGCGTAAATTATGTACATACACTCTTAACAAAACCAATAACTGCTGGTATTGATATGTGACTCTACCGCAGTGGTATTGATCTGGTATTAAATTAATACTGCGACGTAAAAAAATTAATACCAGTCAGTATAAAAATTATTACTACACTGTATTGTTTTGATACCGGTTCAATACCAATACGGTATAACTGTTTAATACCACCTACACACATATCAATACCGTTCGTTTTTTTAATATCACATTTCTAAGTATATATACTATGCACAATGTATAATGGTTAAACGACAATGGTAAACTCTAGAATTTTACTTTGATGTAAGTTTAGGAAGAATTGTCTACTGTTAAAAAACAGACCTGCCAGCTACATAAATAGGTAATTTTGCCAGGTTCTACAATATATTAAGAACCTTAATATACTGGGATGAGCCTGTATCTTAATTTAAGATACAGACCCATCGCAATACTTGAGAAATGCGGAGAGTGTTCCCAGGCCGCACCGCGACCAGGGTGTGCAAATAGGCGCCTTTTTCAGAAAAAAAGGCATGCCTTTTTGCCTTTTTCAATGCCGAATTGCCTTTTTGCGTGCCTTTTTGCCCGTTTCATGCCTTTTTGCCTTTTTGCCTATATCTGCATGGGGGAATGTTTGGAAAATTTTATTTGACTAAATATCATGGATAAAACATATTTATGCTTTCTTCTTGGTTTTTAATAATTGCTTGACCAATATATGTTATTAATGTAGCAATAGTTGTGGCATTAATGTGCACATTTAGGCTTTCTTGATAATAATTCCTAATTACACACGTCAAGGTATTTTTAATTGATTGTTAGGGTGAGCAGTCATCCAATTAACCTCAGCGGATATAGTTTAAACGTACACATGTCGACAAATGATGTTAACTGTGAATAATTAAACTTAAATTCAATAAAACAATAATCTATTACAACATGAATGTTCTTATCATATAGCCCCAATTTTTGTCAAAAAGGCAAAAGGCAAAAAGGCAAAAAGGCATGCCTAAAATTCGCGTGCCTAATAGGCAAAAAGGCATCCCCATGCCTTTTTGCCCTTGCACACTCTGACCTCGACCCTTTACACACTACACTCTAAAAACTGTAGTAGCATTCTACTACCGAATGTGTCCCCGACCCCATAAAGTATATATATTCTGAATCCACTTGATCCAACGGTACCACACTTGTGGGGCAATGTGCGACTTGACCTTTCAAACCCCCATGCTAGGTCACTAAGGTCAATGTCGACGTTGACGGTAATTAATTATATTCCTACTACTAACTTACAACAAATAAATGTATGGTCAAATTCCTCCTCCTGGGGCCAGGAGATTTCGACAGGAATGTATGGTTTTTCTAGTCGTTTTTGTGCAATTTGTTGCAGCGCAAATTGACCTTGGAAGGTCAAAGGTTGGCCGAATACCCCGAATATATTATATATGTATTCTTTTTCGTGAGGCCTTCAGCTTTCCAAAAATATATAGTTTGTGGGGAGATATGAAGGAACGAAAAATTTACCTAAACATTTACAAAGTTGCTAAAAAATCTGGCAAATCAAGTTTGGTATACGATTTCGGAAAGGAAGTCGCAGATGGTCGCAGGGTGTATGATAGTACTGAACCTCATCTAGAAGAATATTTTTTGTACAATTGCATTATTTTAAAATTTTATTTCAAAATCAACATATTCCAGAAGTTCTACATACAAAAATTCATGATATGCATGATTTGTTTAGTCTGCCAGTGGAAATTGGAATGTATTTAACATGCATTTGCCTATGCAAAAAATGCTTTTTTTGTCCATATTTTTTCATGCAACTTTCTCTAAACTCAATTTGCAGATAATGTTCAATGGTAAAGTTTTAATTGCATTAAATTTGGAAGAGATTGATACCTATATCGAGCCATTTGGTGCTTTACATGCAAAAAGGTTCCCTCTTTATGATGACCCCTCGATCATTCATTCCTCCACGCTGACAATATTTTTGAACATGTTTTGATTATGCATCCCAAATTCTCAGAATTTTTCAGTTTTTGACATGTGAGAATATTTATATATGCTTATTGAGACATAAACTTTTCATCCTTACTCACTTTTTATTGTCAACTTTATTTTGGTCTATCAAGAAAACATTTACATATGGAATTTATTGATTAGCATAATAAATATTTGTGAGAATTTGTCGGTTTCCCCACGTTTATTTATCTCTCGCTCAAAATATTTCTCATCATGTCACTCAAAATTTGGAATGATTTCCAGAGGTCGATTTTCTTTAAAGATTTCATTGAATTGTATTTTGAATTTTCAACCCGGCAGTAAGTAAGTATTTTGTATCATGTATGTATTTTGAAAAAAAATATTGCCGACCTCTGTAACTCAGTTTGCCAATTTATCACAAATATTTATTATCTGCTAATAAATAAATTACATCTGATGAAAACATTTTTATCGAGATTTTTATAGAGAAAATAATGCTGACACTGAGAAAAGAAGAAAAGTTCGTACTCATCAATAAGTTTTCTTATTTAGTTTAACTCAAAATTTGACTCATACCCAGCTCCACAATTCCAAAGGATCCATGTCCCAAATAAGTTCCATGCTTCTTGATATCGGCTTCCTTTAACGCGTTAACGGTAAACTTTCTGAGATTTGCTAGTTCCATACTTAATATGCAAAATACTTAATATTAATTACGTATCTGAATTAAGTTGTAAGTGTAAAGAAAAAACGTACAACACGAAATCAACTGCCAGAATAAATCTTGTTCAGTGAAATATTGAATAAGAATAATATTTGCAGTTGCCTGGTAGGTGGTGGAGGAGTTTGATGATAAGATAAGGTCCGTGACTGATCGTAGAGTCATATATCGTTACCGCTGCACCGTGCGACGGATTGAACTTTTTGTGGCCACGCGCATTTTCAACTTTCCCGTAAGGATATCATGTGTTCTCTATATCTCTGTTATTCCCCATAATATCCATTCCTGGTAAGTACTAAAAAAAGTTCAAAAAATTAGAATTATTTTGATAAAAAAAAATTCTGCTATAAGTTTATACTTTTGGCATGAGCGGGGTTCAAAGTTGGGATTTACAAGGGTAGTGTCACAAGTGATAATCGCGGATTTCACATACAACACATCAAAATGAACACAATATTTGTTATAATGAACTGAAATTAACTGAAATGTGATTACTAGTCATAATACATGATATTATAGCACGATAATGCAATGTTCGCCCGATTTTGGTAAAAAAATAAATATTGGAAAAATAAATTATATTTGTGTCATATATGATTAATTTAACTAAAATATTTATTTATTTCGCAGAACCGAGGAATCGAAATATGAAGAGAAGCTTCCTTCGTGGACATGATGAAAATTACTTGGTTAAATGATCTAGGATGAATGTTTGGCAATTATCGTTGGGATGTTCGGTGTTATTGGTAAATGAGTTAAAATAATATTCTTGTTTCAGATTACAATTGATTACGGTAGCGACACGGACATTGACATGGATTGGACACCAATTTCGGAAACACCAAACACCGTGGGGGGCCCATCGGTGGGAAGTCAGGAAGCTGAACCCGGAGTGTATGATGATCTTTCCCATACGGACTCCACACAGCAACCTGACGGACCTAAATCGGGCTATTCGTTAAAAAATGAGCACAATTAAAGATAATGCCGGTGGATCTACGAATGACGACTCGGAACAGCCTTCTTCAGACCGACCTGACTTGATGGTGTCGCTGGCCTCAAGTGATAAGTCTCCAGAAACAAGGACACACGACATGGAAGATGACGACACGGAAGGAGTACCAACAATTATAGAAAAGAAGTTTTTGGCCGAAAAGGTAATATAAGGGTTATTTTATTCTCAAAATTAATAAAAAAAATTTACTGTTTTTTTTACTTAAATAATTAAAATCATATGGGTTTCAGATAGTAAATTTAAAAACACCGTCTGAACGAGTTAATTTTATCAAGACAACTGTATCAGAATCTTTACCTGCAAGTTTGAACGATCTGCAACAGGATCACTTGGACAGATTAGCAAGAGCTTGGGCCTTCAAAACAGTCGCCAAATATCAGAAGTGCGCAAGAAGAATGAGTTTTTTCTTGGACAAGGAAAAACAATACTTGGACGGTTATTTTGTCTTGCCTAAAAACTTCTTCCCTTCAGAAAGGACCAAGCGACGAAGGGTTGAAGAACTTGAGAAATCCTTGTCCCCTGAGGATCCTGGCGACCTTGTCCATGCAGTTTCTAGGACGTTAAATAAGCACGGACATCCTGAGGCAGCCAGAATTATCAAAAAATCCCTGTCACCATCGAAACAGCAAGTAATACTGGATTCCCTCAGCAAACCTTCAACAACTCCAACCCCTTATACTGCTGAAGAAGCATTGTCCCTAATTTTAGATTTGGGATTGACACAAACACAGTACCAGAGGCTTCGAGAAGGAGCTAACCAGCATGGATGTCCTTTATATCCATCCTACCATGAAGTTCAAAAGTGCAAGATTTCCTCAAGACCACCAGCGGATGAATTGTGCGTGACAGAGTCCTCAGCATCAATTCCATTGAATTCCCTGTTACAGCATACTGCATCTCGTATTGTCAATATGCAGAATTCGGTCTTGCTTCAAATATTTGCCTCTCAACATATATGTGAGATCAAAGCAACACTAATTTGCTCATGGGGATTTGATGGATCATCTGGACAATCTAGATACAAGCAGAAGTCTTCAACATCTTTTGACGACTCCTCAATATTTGCAACAACTTTGACTCCAATCAGATTGACTGCCGCTAATGGAACTGTAATTTGGAACAATTCTTCGCCTCAATCCATTCGATTTTGCAGACCCCTACACCTGCAATACATCAAGGAGTCCCAGGAAAAAATATTGAACGAGCAAAAATATGTTGAAGATCAGATTGCAGTTCTCGACCCAATTGAAGTATTTGTGGACCTGGGGAAAACCATCACCATCAACTTCGACTTGAGATTTACTGTAATTGACGGAAAAGTATTATCAGCAATTTGTGGGGTCAAATCTTCAATGTGTTGCCCGATTTGTGAAGCAAAACCTTCAACATTTAATTCCATCGAAAATATTGGAAAAGGGTTGTTTACCCCGAAGCCCGGGCGTCTTAACCATGGTATCAGCCCTCTCCACGCTTGGATTCGACTTTTGGAACTTTGTTTACACATTGCATACCGCTTGGATATCCAGAAATGGCAGGCACGTGGACCTGTGCTTCAGGCAAGTGTAAAGAAGAGGAAGGAAGAGATCCAACAGTTACTGCTGAAAGAAATGGGACTGCGGGTGGATTTTCCAAATAATACTGGCAGTGGAACATCCAATGATGGCAACACCGCTCGTCGAGCATTCCGAAATTACGAAGAGTTCGCAAAGTTGACTGGATTAGATGTGGAGTTTGTTCGAAGGCTCTGGGTCATCTTGGTGGCCTTAACTTGTCAACTCCCCCTCAACGCTGACAAATTTGGAGAGTATTGCTTCAACGTAGTACAATATTACCTAACTTTGTATCAATGGTTCCCGATGCCTGCATCAATGCACAAGATCCTGATCCACGGAAAGGACATCATAAATTCTAGTATTATCCCCCTTGGATGCCTTGGAGAAGAAGGAGGTGAGTCTCGAAACAAGATGTACAAGTCGGATAGACTGCGTCATTCTCGAAAAATTAGTCGAACAGCCACTATGACAGACATATTCAATCGAGCCATGGATACCTCAGATCCCCTATTATCATCTCTTCATCTGGACAAAAGAGCCCGTTATCGAAAACAGTTGGCTCTACCTCAAGAAGTCCTACATATGCTAGAATGCCCATCTGTACCAACTACACAAGAATTTGGTGACGATGATCAACAAGTCGAACCCGATGAAAACAGTTTGGACTACGAAAATGAAATTGAACTTGAAAACGAGGTAAGTATTTTTTTCCCCATTATTTTATTCTAACTATACTAAGTATTAGCCCAACGATAAAAACCAACGACAACAAATGTTTTTAGTTTTATGAATCTAGTCATTTTTGATCATGTTATAAGGTATAAAGTTAAATTGAGTGATTATAAATTATGTTTGTTATTATGCCCATGTAGTTCTACTCAGCGGCCCCAAGCCATGTACCTTAATACTCTAATCCCAGGTAGTATTGCGGTTTTAACCGACAAGGGGCCCTACCTGGCTTAAATTTTCTATTTTCAGATCTTTGAATCGAGTTGGCATTTGCACATGTGAACAACTTCAAAATAATTACAACAAGGCGTACGTTACATTTAAGGTAATGTTTTTTTTATATATTTCCTGTATTTATTTTTTTTACCAAAATCGGGGGAACATTGCCCTATCGTGCTATAATATCATGTATTATGACTAGTAATCATATTTCAGCTAATTGTAGTTCATTATAACAAATATTGTGTTCATTTTGATGTGTTGTATGTGAAATCCGCGATTATCACTTGTGACACTACCCTTGTAAATCCCAACTTTGAACCCCGCTCATGCCAAAAGTATAAACTTATAGCAGAATTTTTTTTTATCAAAATAATTCTAATTTTTTGAACTTTTTTTTAGTACTTACCAGGAATGGATATTATGGGGAATAACAGAGATATAGAGAACACATGATATCCTTACGGGAAAGTTGAAAATGCGCGTGGCCACAAAAAGTTCAATCCGTCGCACGGTGCGCTGGTGATAAACTTATCACCAGATTATTTTGTGTGTATTTACCATGCATGTTATGGCTTTACGTTATTGACAGTATTCAGGATATGAGCGAGTCAGTTACGCAGATCGGTTTTGTGTTGTAAAAATGTTGTCAATTCTTCAGAATCATAGTGATCGCGAAACTTATACTGTTCGATAACAGTGTTACCTTACCCCACTTTTTCATTCCATGTTTGACATGCAACCCAATCAAATTTTCTCCACTTGCAATCATCACATTTACAGGAATAAGTCAAGAATGGGACCTTAGGAGCACTGACATGCACAAATATTTAGTACAACACTACATATTAAGTAACTTTCATGCCACATGTGGCCTACAATACCGTGGGTACATCGATTTACAAGACTCCAAATTCTGCATCTTCCAAATAATTGCAGGCAAGCATAACCTTACAATGCTTCCCGAATTTGGAAAACAAGAAGGCAGTGAATCATTTGGTCACAGATATTTCGGTAATATAATATACGCAACCAAAAGATTTGAAAATGTTTCTTTTGTATACGAAGTAAACTACATGCTTATCAACTTTGTAACAATAACCAACCTACCATCTGCGGCAAGTGGATTGACGACATTCGTCACCCCCTTCGATGCAGACACCTGGTTATGTCTCCGGCTAAGTGTCGGCTCTGTGGCAGTGTTCCTGTCATGGTTTACTTGGCAAGGAAGCCGTCAGCAAGATTTCCATTGGAGGATGCACATTGTGACCATGGTGGAAAAAATTATCACTGTCGCATCCATCCTTCTCGGCCAGGTGGGCGATAGTAGTGTAAAGGCATACCGGGTAGGAAAAGTAGTCCTTGTCCTTCTCACGTTATGGCTTTTTGGAAATATTCTCCTTATGTAGAACTTATACCAGGGCTCGATATATTCCTGCTTGGCGGTCTTACTCCATAACCCAACGCCATCAGGGGTACACGACCTTGTCAAGTGGGACATCCCAGTTCATACGAATGATCATGCCCCCGTTGCCAAGAACCAGTCGTATCAATCGCACCTGTTGGACTACTTTATTCCGAAATTACTTTCAGACCCAGGACCGTGTCAACAATTTATTAAATTCTTGATAAAATTGCGGAAAAAAATTTTACCACCAGGTGAAGAATCAGCAGCTGATTTCATCAAAAAGAAGAAGGGGAGAAATATTGAGGCGAAAATCTACGCCCAACAGTCAACTGGACCAATGGCCATATTTTTTCATGAAGAATATCTTAATGTACTTGTTGAAGTTGCAAAAATATTTGGCACACATCGCGTGGTGAAAAATAAGGAAGGTTCGCCGTTTCGTACGGTCACATTTCTCGTCGGATCTGAAAGTATGCTTATCTGGTATGCTAAAAAAGAGTTTGGACAAATACACGTGGTTTGGTTTACCAGAGTTGTGGGGAAGCATGATCCGAATTAACGCGTTGTTGAGGTTAAAGAAACTTTGGGCTGTACGAAATAAATTTTTCACAGCTGTGCAACACCTGTTTCGTAATATTAAGGAGCAAGCAACATTCCACGAGGCGACGCCCCTGTCTACAAAATTGATATGGCCTGTCTTTGTTATCTGTTTGGTAGTGATGGGTCTTGGTGTGGCGGCCTTTTTGATAGGAAATAAGAATATTGTCGGCGTTTTTGGAAAAGTTGTATATGTAAAATGGTTAATCTATATTCGTAAAGTATGTAAATCAATGTTGGATGTGTGGCATGGCAAAACAAAACTTAAAAACTGTGGATTATGAATTATTGGTTAGGATAAACGTGACCCAGGAACATAATTTTACGTGGATCGTTATATGATGATAATGAAGAATTTGAATTCGTTGCGTATTTTCAAGAAAATATTTGCATTTCACGCTAACAAAAAACCTAATTCTAGCAAGTTGCTGTGTAGAAACTAAAAATATGTGTTAAATAAATACACCAAATTATGGCACTTCTGAAGTTCAGAAATAAACAGGAAATTTATTGATTATTTTTTATGATTTAAATTAACAAATATTTTGTAGCACACATCTAAATACTTGCAACAATTGAAATGATGTGCAAACAAATAACAGATTAATTTTGCATATTTGAAAACCAGGCAGCCAACTCTTCAACTTGTAACTTTCCGTCATTATTTTTATCCGCTTTTTTTATCAATTCATCAAACCCCAGTTTCCCCTTCTCACCAAACAGGTCTGGGTCGAAGGCTTTCATTGCGGCAACTCCAGCGTCGTATTCTTCCATTGAGATTTCTCCGTCGCCATTTTTGTCGAAATGTTTCGCCACGGTGAGACAGTAGGCTTTTATATCGTGCAGGCTTTCGAACACTTTCATGATATCGTTGACACTGCAGAGGTCATCTCCACGGGGGACACGGAAATAGTTTTTGTAAGCTTCGGCCTGTTCAGGTGTGGTTGGAATTCCAGCAGCGTTGCAGAAAGTGATGTATTCAGAATTGTGGATCGTGTTGTCTTTATAGGACGGGAGATTTCGCAGGATGGACTTAAGATTTTCCAGCTCTTGTGGGGTGAAGGGTTTTGCTAGGATGTGGGATTCGCTCATGTCGCCCTGCGTTTTATATGAAAATACAGGGCGCATTTACTTGTTGTCCCTCGTTTCTTCGAAGGGAGTGGTGCATGGGTGAATATTTTTTCTTGGAAATTTAAAAGGTGGGGAATTCTATGCAATTTTTTTGGACATGTTTGGTAGTCACACGGCTTATGTACCCGCTTTGTCTGTCTGTTTGTTACACCGATAGTTCTCTTTAGTCAAGTTCTGTCGGTTTGAAATTTTTAACACATCTGAACAAATTTCAAATATGAAGCCAAATTGAAAATTGGTCGATCGGTTAACTGGTTGGGATCGAATTACCTGAATTAGTACGTTTCGTGTAACCAAATACAGTAGAGGTTGATAAATATAGAGCAGACCTGGGTTGGGCTATGTGAAGTTATTTAATTAAATATGTGGTTGACAACCAAAAAAAAATTACACGAAATCCCCCCAACTTTTATATTTCTAAAAAAAATCATCCTTGCAACACCCCATTAGAAGAAACGGGGGAAGGTAAAAGCGCCTTGGTGAAAATAGATACTAAAAATTTTGTTATTTAATTTATTTAAAATTTTACCCTTGAAATAAGAAAAATATGAAAAATACCCTTGTGTGGTTTTGTGAATTAACTGGCTGAGAATGAATTTTTCGCAAGAAAAGTTGTGCTCAACTGAACGACTAAAGTGCGAAACGTCTAGTTTATATTAGGGTAGGATATTTCCGTTAATTTTACATAGATTCCTTACGATTACATATACTTGGCAATGAAGTCGAATGTTTTTGAAGGAATTCTTGTTACATAAATGTAAACGACTAGCGAATTTAGCTTAAATTATTTTCAGGACTAATTAAAACTTCCCGTTGCCAGTTCTGCATAATTAGACGATTCAAAAAAGGAGTAAACAATGTTTTTATGTAAAAACAAAATAAGGGAAGTCAATGCCAATGTCATGGTTATAGAAGCGTTTACATACAAACTATGCACGTTAAAGAAAGAACCTGGAAATTCTTTAATTATATAAGTAGGATTTTTCCGGTTGACACAGAACAGTCTGCCAAGAAAGAGTAGTAGTAAACAGAGTTGAGACATGTGTGTACTCTTACGGAAGGTGCAACAAAAAAATAAATCGGATCGGATTATGTAAGAGAATTTTCACTTGGCTGATTTTTTTTTGTCATCCGATCAATTGACAAACCGCCAAATAAATGCGAAGTATTCAAATTCGCACATGTTAGATTGTCGCCAAGCAGGAAAGGATGAATGCATGTCTGAACGTACACACACATCTATGGAATATATCGACTTGCGCGTATGTAATCGATGAGGACAAATTAGATTCTTATCTTCTTGAAAGGATGGTAAGGGTTTGTCATACACCGTGATACCTATAGAAATCTCCATATATTGGCAAGGAAATGAGTAAGATAACAAGTCAAAATAGGACCAATGTATTATAATTTTTATTTTGTTTTCCTGTTGTGTAAAAGCTAAAGGGAAATTTAGATAATTGCCAAGTCTTAGTCTTGGAAAAACTGATGTAATATTTTGCATATAAAAAGCGTACATTATGATGTCATGAGTGCATATTTGGAATATATCAGGCTTAAAATTTGTTACTATGCTCGGGTTTTTGTTGGTGTACTTTTTTCTCATAATAAATGCAGACACTTTTACACCCATCAATCTGTACTGTGTAGATATTGAAGAACAGAAAAAGAGATTCAGGAAATGGGTGCAGACATAAATCCACACCGTAACGTCAAGGTTGGAAGAGATTCCATTTACTCGATTTACATCTTTGTTTAGGGAACGTTCATAAATTTCATAACGCAAAAATCGTCAATTTTTTTAGCCCACCCACCCCCTTTAACATGTGTCACATAGGCACGATATCATTGGAGCCATTTAGCCCACCCACCCCCTCTTGCGTTATGAAATTTATGAACGTTCCCTTAAGTATTTATATACAGTAAGTAAAAAATATGTACAAGACTGTCGCAAATTCAATTATTATGCCAGGTTTATACTTCACTTTTCACTTAGAGTGATCCCTGTCTCTCTATGGCAACCATTAGCATTAGAGGATAGGTTTCACTCTAACTAGGAACACTAGGTAGGTGTGACCCGGACCTAGCGATGCCACTATATGCATTTGATGCATTTTTTAATTGTAGTCCTGCAATGTAACAAAATTTCCGTGTCAAAATGACATTTGGTCACGCTATGACGATTTTTGTGACGACAGGAACGCACCTATTTCTCTGTTTGTGGGGGTGCCGGGAACGTAGCGCTCACTCACCACCACAATACCACCCGAACCACACCACTGCTATACACTATGAATAATTGTTTGAATAAATTTCAAAAATATGAGTAATTTTCAAAATTTTGCAAAAATTTTCAGAATTTTCAAAATTTTCAAAATTTTGCAAAAATTTTCAGAATTTTCAGAATTTTCAAAATTTTGCAACTATTTTCAGAATTTTCAAAATTTTCAAAATTTTGCAAAAATTTTTAAAATTTTGCAAAAATTTTCAGAATTTTCAGAATTTTCAAAATTTTGCAAAAATTTTCAGAATTTTCAAAATTTTCAAAATTTTGCAAAAATTTTCAAAATTTTGCAAAAATTTTCAAAATTTTGCAAAAATTTTCGGAATTTTCAAAATTTGAGGAACTTTCAAAAATTTGAGGAATTTACAAAATTTTCACACCTACCTAGTGTTCCTAGTAAGTGAAAAGTGAAGCATAAACAAGGCATGAGGAATCAAAATGTGGTAATGTGTTAAACCCAAGATTTTGCAAAGATTCCTCCGCGAATATTTGCTATTTGCGGATAAAGGTGTAGCAAACTAAAGATAGAGGTAACCTAATTTTTTTGTACAACTGCTTGTAGGCGTAACATTTATTTATGTAACTTCTTTAAAATTATTAACAAATTTGAATAAAAAACCAAATACGACGAGCAATATCTTATTTGATACAAGTCACCTTTCTTTTCTTTATAATAAGTAAGTAAGGGAGAAGTAAATGTGCAGTATTGGGCTTAAGAGTATGTCCAACAATGGTAGAAAATTTCTATCATTGTGGAATATACCGTCGGATATACATAGAAACCAGCTCACCAAGTTACGTTGAACTACTTTAATCTCACCAAAATATTTCTGTCGACGGGTCTAAAATATATGATGAAGGGAATACATCCGTGTAACCTGCATAAAATTGCATAAAATAAATCGTACTTGTTTACTTAGGATCCCTTTAATCTGCACAATATGGCAGAATATGATTACTGATCTCTTTCAATCTACAGTTTGTCCGTGACACCTTTCCTCCTATGGTGAGGGTGCTTTCTCATTGGCAATACATTGAGGCTGAACATCTGCACTTAAACCTTTTACTATTGCAGCATGAGTGACGCGTGCATATAAAGCTCTTATGGCATTATGCTTAAGGCTCGAGTACACATTTTACCTGAAATCTAGTGACAGAATTATTCAGTGCTCTTTTGCAAAAGAGACGAATAAAAAACATGCATGCACGTCCACCTCGAGTTCAGTGGCTCAAACTTAGCAAAAATTTTATGCGTTAAACTCGTATCTCAGCCCAATCTCTCCTCCTTGTTGAGATTTGAGATTTCCTCGTAGTAACTCTTGTTCTTCTCCCACATCTCGCTCATGTTACCAGGTGGTCGAGACAGAGTGGAAGAAAAACTCGGGTTGAGAGAGTGCGAGAGTGCATGTAAGCAGGTTGAAATTGTGCTCTCACACCATGCGCAGACTTTAGTCACTTGTGCAAAGATAAAATCCCAATTTTTCATCATAAAGTTCGAATGATTGAGCTCGAGAGGTCATCCCGAGATAGGATTTTTATAGAAATGGACACCTGACGAGTTTTCGAAGAAATTGCATGTGGAAAAATTTGCAAAATCGTCTATATTTTTTATTTACAATTCAAATTGTCTTGAAAATTTTTGTGTATGTTTATCCTCAATTATTAATTTCACTACAGCATAATTACAAATTGTGTCACATGCAATTTCTTCGAAAACTCGTCAGGTTTCTATTTCTATAAAAATTCTATTTCCGGATGACCTCTCGACCTCAATCATTGCAAGTTTATGAAACTATTTCACAATGTATTAGTATAGGGAATGGGGTACGAGGATAGATGGACTGAGAGACAGCGAGAAAGCTGGACTTCTACTTTAAAACCTTTTCCAGTTCGCAATATGTATACATATTTAATCCACGTATCTTCATCAGTAGCTTGATGACAGTTGCAGTTCGGTATGGTACCTTTTCCCATCACCGGAAAAATTCGACATTTTCTATCAATTTTGCGTCCAGAGTCAATAACCAAGTCCGTATTAAAAAACACAAAAAACAAAAATAAGCGTTACTGAATAATTTAGATAATAATAATAATAGAAGTTCCTTTTAACGAAGTGTTTCCAATGTTTATTGCTTAGGCATAAAACATAAAATAAATGTAAAGTAATTATGTGCATGTTGCACGAACCCTTCGTGACGAAGGGGTCATCAGGCAGGAGACTACATTTAGTTACTAATTACACCTTGGAATGTAAATACGAATGTACTTTCACCGAGTATGACCTCTATATGAGACTGCTTATAGTCCATTTAGAAAACTATTAATTTAAGTAGCTTTAATGTAAATGTTGGAGTCTCTAAATAATTTGCCTACGTCTTTGTTGAAATACTAATATGTATGGTCAAATACATAAATGTAATGATTTCACAAAAAATATATATATGTGAGTGTGTATTTATTTATTTACGTAGGTCCACCTTTTGCTTGGGAAGGTGGACCTACATATTTATAAACCAAGGAATAAGCAGAACAAATATTTAAAAAACTAGAACTATTTCATTTCATCATTTGAAGAGTTTGTATTGTTGACAGACGTAAACTACGTGTTACAGAAGTTTTCAAAATCCACAATTTAACAATTCACCGATCACAGCATGACAAACCAAATTTGTAATTGCATTGTGCTTGTTATATTTACAGTTCCATTAATATCCTCTAATTTTAATTTGGAACAAATTGAAAGTGTGATTCCGTTAAGATCAGTCTTACAAATAATGGGGAATGTCAAGACAGGCAACCTGAATCCTTGGCAATCTGGGTTACTCGAATTTCTCCTGCAAAACCAAAACTTGCCAAAAGTTATCACAGCCGATCGATATTACAGGACTTGCAAATTGAAGGGGTATATTTCTTCGAAAGATTTTACTCGGTTACTCGTATTTCATTATTTTTTCTGCGTAAACTGGAAACAGAATCAGAGAAAAAAGGATTCGCTCACACTCGAACACGACTAAGTTGGTGTGGAGAAAATCCAACCTATATATTTCTGGTTTTAAGTATGATGAAAAGCAATATGTTCAAAATCCCGCCCGATGCGGAATCAACATCTAAATTGTTTTTAATCCATGGTGGAAGGAAGGGTGATAAGTATATCCGAATTTATGTGGTCTGCATCGCTTCAGTGTCTTTGCTGGAACTGAGGCCTTCACGAAACGACCACGTTAATATCCTAGATTACACGTGGAGAATTCAGAATTCCAACATGCAAGGCTGGCATGTAGATACAGGAGCGGGATTTTTAAAGTTTGATCCCAGAATACATACATGTAGCGCAATTCAGCGTGGTAGAAAAAGATATCCGAAGACTCCAGGAACGATAAAATGTGCTCAAATTGT